GGTTAAACAGTATCAAACTAAAAAAAAAAAAATAGTAAATCAGATGTGGCAAGGCAGTATCAGAGTCAAATATATAATGGAAATAACAGGCAGTGGCAAAACAGTATCAGACTCAAAGGAAAATAGTAAAACCAACCATGTGAAACAAGTGCATTTTTAGAAGAGACTTAAAAGAGATTTTAAAATTCATTCTGATAATGAATGGGCAGCTAATGAAGGGACCTCGGAATTGGGGTGATATGGGCGCTTTTAATGCTGTTGAAAAGGAATCTTGTAGCAACATTCTTCACTTATTGAAGATGAGCAATTTGACTCTTTGAAATCCTGCAGTAACGTGAATTGGCTTTATGCACAGCTGCACTACTTCCTGAACTTAAGCCAGCTCCTTTGGTTCCTGTCTGCCATTATTGGCCAAGCTTGATTAATTCAGGTGTGTCTGATTTTTGTTGCCGTGACTACTGAGGTCAGGCACACCTGAATAATCAATTTGTCCAATAATGGCAGACAGGAAACAAAGGAGCTGGCTGAAGTTCAGGATGTAGTGCAGCTGTGCATAAAGCCAAACGTGAGGTGATAAAAGCATGAACTGCCATCTCTAGAGTTTGATGATTAAGTAAAAAATTGACTTTAGACAGTAAACAAAGTTGATAAAACTTGAACTTTTAAAATACAAGTACAATGTAAAGACATGAAGGCCTAGCTTTTAGGTACACAATAAGTGCATTGTATCGTTGTATCTTTTAAATGTTAGAGCATAATAGTTAAGGACACACTTAATATAAAGTGGAACCCAGTTTATTTATTTATTTTCAGTGTGTGCGGTCATGTATGCAGCCATCAAGGTGGACCTCACACAGCAGTGTCATTACATGGACATTTATCTACTTTATCATAGAAGGCTTTAATAAAATAAAGCTAACAGACATAGGCGTCATACCACCAGATTTCGTCATGAGTCATTTTGTACCCACCACTTTTAACTTCCGTCCATTAATTTGACTTTTGGTTCGATTTTTTGGACCATTTTCAGTGATTATGAGGAGCAATATGAGAGAGAAATCATTGTCTGACCCAGCAAAAATAACAACAACACTATAGGCCTAATACATTTTTTATTGATTTTTCTGTTCGCATTATGAGGGAAAAAACAACCTGTCAGTTCTCGTTTACGGATGTGAGCGTTCTGAAAGCGGCACTAAATGACTTCTTTAAAACTTTCATAGAGACCTCTAACAGAACAGCTGCCCTTCTTTACATTTATTTTCGTTTTGTATTAATTATCTTAATTTTAATCAATGTTTCATGAACCAATTGTCTGGATTTATTTAATAAATAAGAAGTAAATATAGCAGAATCACGACATGGAGGCGCCGGCGAGTGAATTGGAGATCGTCTCATAAATTAACCTAAACTCGGCTATAATGCACATTCACAGCGTATTTAGACAAATTTAGACGCATTTACAATCAATACTTTTACCGGTTCTTTGTTGCAAGCTTTATGCATGCGGTTGTGCGCTTGAGCACAAATTATGAGCTTTTGGCGATTTTTTTTATAATTATATTTTTTTTAATTATAATATAGTAAAAGTTTTTTTTTTGTGTGTGTGTGTGAAAGTTTTGGGTGGGCCTGTTGAAAAGTGTGGCCGTGCCTGTGCTGCAGGACATCGTCTTTGAAAACATAACCCGCGTGAAAGAGAGAAAAATAATAATACATCATTGCACCCAGCACTTCTGAAAATGCACTTCCGAATGCGTCTCTGTCCCCAGAAGATTTCAAACCAAACCATGATAAAAAAGATAGATTGACAGGTGACACTGCAATGACTACCCTTTTAAATTGCTAATTTAACCCTTTACACTTTTTTTTTTTTTTTTTTTACATCAACAGGGTTCACTTGCGGAATGCTCCGAATGCAATCCTGGGCAAACACGGTCCTCGGGGGTCAATGCCCTCTGCCCTGCAGAGTTCAGCTTCATTTATTTTTTTTCTAAATGCAATAAATTTTCAGTGAAATCAATTCTGATTTAAAATAGTAATGCATATGTTAACAAACTGAGCCACTGTACCTTTTATCATGCAGATGATTTGTATGAATTTATGATCACAAGCTTGGATGTGTTCTGTCAGTGCTTGAGGAAGGTAAAGTAAGTGGAGAACTGAAAAAAAATTCTCATTTCAGTAAACTGCTGGTTAGGTATATGCCACATGGTGTCCGGTAAGAGACTTGGTGAAAAGATGTTGGAAATTTGAGAGTAACCTGTTTGTTTGTCACCACAACAACTCACTTATTAACAAGGATTGAATGGTTGTACTTAGTTGTTGGTGTAGCTATTAGTGTGTGGTTTTCTATAGAAACAGAAAATGCAGAGTAAATATTCTAACATTAAATATTATAACACGGCACTGACAACATACATTATACATTATAGGCTAATTCATCTCATTAAACGACAAATTAAAACCCATGTAGCCTACTAGGCCTATTTAAATCGATTGCTGGACGTCGTTATGTTATTGTAGCCTACATAAATCTGATTTAGCATTTTATTAGCAACCCCCACCCTACCTGTCCCAGCCACTTTTTAAAACAAAGTTATGTCACTGATTTTTATGTTTATATGTTTACTTAAATGTTATATGGTGTTTTACCAAAGTGTCTAATCCTTTTTTTACAGATAAATTGCTTTAATACCAATTACCAAGGTGACCTTTAAATACTTCTGCTGTCAGGAAAGCCAAATCACGTTCTTATACCTGTCCTGACCTGAGCACAAGCTCCCATTCTAATTCTAAAAAAAAAAAAAAACCCTATTTAAATATGATTAAATTCCTTTAAATTGATAATATCACGTGTATTACCTCCACTGTAACTGACTTCCCCACACACGTTTTGATGTTAAAGCTAGAGTCCACTAATGCAGTGGTTCTCAAAGTGGGGTCCGCGGACCCCTGGGGGTCCGCGAGCTAAGCCAGGGGGTCCGCGAAATAATTTACAACCTAACGTTTTTTTCCATGCTATATGAGTCATGTTTTCTTTATCATCTGAAAACATGCTGTTTATTTCTAAGTAAATTATATAAAGCATTTAACATAAAACAATACAAAGTAGACACTTAAAGTTTTCTATAGATAGATAATCTATGTCTTTGCGTCAAGTAGACAATTCGCTGCTGTTGATTTTGCGGGACGTGCGCCAGAAAGGAGACAGAGAGACGGCATGAACCCGCATCCGGTTCTTTTCTGTATTTTTAAAAGGCATGACATTTTGTAGTCATTTATAATGTAGCCTATAGCCTACACAAATAAAAAAATGGACACTTTACCGTTTCGGATGATGCACTCTTGTCTTATCTATGACCATAAATAAGAGTATTCCTGTTTCCACTGCTGAGGAAAAATTCCCATGTAATTGCGCGCCGGCGTCTCGCGTGCGCGCACAATAGTCAGTTCTAGCACTGCTACTGTAGATTTGACATTAGAAGTCTGATCATTATCAAAATAAAAGTGCATAGTGACAGGGCCGTACCCACAACTGAGGTTGCAAGGATGCACATCGCGATGATACTGACCTTCTCGTCTGAGGTGCTTCAGCAGACTAACAACGATAGCTCGTCAATGTCAAAATGTTTGAGTCGGAGTGAACTCAAAGTTCCCCGCACAAAGTTTCAGTCAACGGTCATAAAGTGCGAGATAAGATTTAGGCCTTAATTAACATTTTAAACAGCTGTTTTAGATAAAAGTTTTAAAAAACGACTGAAACAATCAGTTTGCAAAGTATTAATCAAGCTCAACTTTAACAAAGGAAAAAGCAGGTCAATAGAAACATACTGTGCCCATGAGATTAACATTATGGATTCATATATTTAACATATACTGGATGTTTTTTTAGCTAATTACAGTAGCTCAAATTAACAACGCACGCACCTATTAAACATAATGCCATTATCATTGTATTTATAGGCTTATGGGCTTTATTTGTGTGCAGAATAGGCCTAATTATTGAAACATTTCTCTTTTAAGGCCATTCCTGATTGGAATATGTGATTGTGTTTCGTGACATCTTGACAAAAAAAAAAAAAAAAAAAAAAGTATGCCACTGACTGACATGCTTCTACTAAATCTATAGCTAGTTATCCAATTGTGGGGCCTTAAAACACCTTAAAATGCACATGTGTAGATCAAGAACATAAAAAATTCCTAAGTGAGGGATCCTAAGTGATTCCTAGCAAGATCACTTTCGTTACCTCAGTAGGCTATTTAGAAATTCCTGCATAGTACCCTGGGTGGAGACCATTCATTTTGTGCAAAAATATTTCATTTGCCGCTCACATTAACTTTGTGCTCAATAACTGTTATAAATATGAGGGGGGTCCTTGGAATTTTTTTTCCCCTGAAAGGGGTCCCTGGCACCAAAATGTTTGAGAACCCCTGCACTAATGTGCTTATTTACAAAAAGGCATGAGTGGAGAAAAACAAGTTAATTTTATTTTTATCTAAATTGTCATAAACCCGCTATTTAAATATATTATTCATATAGGTTATACACAAAAACGGAATAAGCTGATCTATAGAATGTAAACTGGTGGTAGCCTAGTAGTCTATGAAAGGTACACCCCTCTAAGCTCACAGAAATGGTTAGACCCAAGTCTTCAGCAGCCAATGACACCGACCCCTTCATACTGATATAGCCTATATATATATATATATATATATATATATATATATATATATATATAAATGATTGTAATTTTATCATTTTTTATGATATTTATAAAAAATATTCAATAACTTCACTGTAGCCTAGCTAATACACAGCATTGTTGCCAAATTCAGTTCTGTTCAGTTCATTCATCACGGATCATCACAGCTGTTCTGATACTCTATACTACAACACTTATTTTGGATTTTTTTTATTTCATAAACGTATAATTTTGATAATTTCAACAACTTCATTGTAATTCTCTATTGTTGCCAAATTCAGTTCATCACTGCTGTGCTGTGCTGTCTTGATGGTTGAAATGCTTTTCGGGTTTTGCACTTTGCAGACGGTCCCTTCGGATCTGTCTTTCAGCCGCCTGCGCGTAGATAGGTCAATGTATTTTGTCCACTGCTAAGGAAAGCTTGTTTCGGGGGAAATTAGATTGCAGCTGCTTGTCTACGTTACTACGTAGGTGTTTTTTGTGTAGTTAAAAAGTTTAGCTAACGAGTTATTGAATCGAGTCCGGGAAGTTTGAATCTATTAATTTATTGCCAATCTACTCATTCAGTTTTTCTACGCCTTGAAAAAAGCGAGGTATAACTTCGCAAAACTAAAACTTGTTCTACCGGAAAGACTTGCTGTTATCACTATGTGTTTTTCTTTTAAGTGTTTATCTGAAAATGTTCTGAAATTTCACATTCACTTTTGTATTATTGATTGTGTGTGTTTCTTTTCTTACAGACGATGATCTGAAATGGACACTTTTTACAGTATGTCAACTAATGTTAGGCATATTCAAATTATTATCTCATGGTTTTGGGTGTAATGATTTGATCCGTCAAAACTAAAGATCTTAAGTTAATCTTTCAAGATTTATTTTTAAAGTAAAAGTGCTTTTAAAACGAAAAGATGTCAAATCTTTCTCTGCTCCGCTGTACACACAGCTTGTATTGTACAGAATGGGCTATATGCACGCATAAGTTCCGCATATAACGTAAGGATGCTCGTCCATTTCCGGTTGTGTAGATTAAAGCGGAGGAAAACCGGAGAAAACGGGATTATGGCAGAGTCTTCAATATTTACTGTCCTCCCGTCTTTGAAACGAAACGTACATACGTTTAGATGTAATGTTATATATAGTTATGTTTATTTAATATAATTTTAAAAAGAAGCATAAACACAACGAGGGGTGTCTGTTTTATCTGTTTTTGTGACTAACGTTTCATTAGTATAACCATGGAGTATAAAATTCAATATAAATTCTCGGTATTGCATTGGACTCTATGATCGGCGGAAGTTATCGAGCATCCCTAATGCTTCACCGGAAATAACGCCGTGCATAGAGCCCAATAGTGTTCATTTCATTCGTGATATTTTAGGCTAAAAGCAACAACACTAATACGGTGTTATTGGGTGTCTAAATTTTCCCCTGTTATCTAGAATCCTTCAGTAAGAAGAATTTCAGTATTTCCTCATCTCACTCTGACTCTGGGCCAAATGTGAGCGCTTCAGCTCAGAGCGGAAGCCATATTACAACACCTGTACTCACCAACAATGCAATAACAGGGAATGTCCACATCATACATAATGCACCTGGTAAGAAACACATGTTGCATTTTCATAGATTCTAAAAATATAGTCTATTATATATTTCTCAGATAATGTATTGAGTATCTCCATTTGTCACATGTTCTCAGGTCACATGTTAAAATGTATTCATTGTTCTATTAGAAGAAGGATCTAACAGATACTTGCTAACACAATTATATTAATGCAGCCTATGTTTTAGATTTAGCTGTTGACAATTTATAGTTTATTGACATTAAAAGAAATTTTGTCTTATTTTCTGCAGGCTTTACTTTGTATCGGCCACCCTCTGAAAAAACACAAACCTTGGGTAATGGATAAATCTGATAAGTTTCGGATGTTGAACAAATCATAATTTGTTTTAAAATGCACTAACCCTGTTTAAAATTGCTTATTTTATGTGTGCAGGAACAAGGTCAGTGATTTTAAAATATAAAAAGCTGATCTGCAGCGAGCATCAGTGTGTGACCGAGTATAACTCACGGCCTGGTGAACATGTGCTGCTGTCTGAGCGCTACACACAACCTCTGATCATTCAGAAACATAGAGATCCAAAAGAGAGAGAAGAAGAGATCTGCTCGAGTGGAGAGAGCTTCCAGCGGGTCCTCAGCTCCAGGAGCAGCGATGACTCTGTCCACCTGAACTCTCTGTTTGACCCAGATAGTCACGGGATCAGTCCTAGTGCTGTTATACTGCAGGGGAATTCTGGGAACGGGAAATCCTTCACTGTGCAGAAGATCATGATGGACTGGGCATCTGGTGACCTCTACAAAGAGCGGTATGATATTGTGTTCCACTTAAAGTGTAAAGAAATAAACCGCATTCCTGGCAAAAAGAGTTTGGTGGAGATCTTGAGCTACAGCTGCAGTTTAACATCTGATCAGATCTCACAGATGTTACAACAGTCATCAGAGAAGGTGCTTTTCATCATTGATGGATTTGATGAGCTGAGACTCACAGAAGACATTTATGGCATGTCACCAAACACTGATCCGCTTCAGAAAGCCCCACCTGTGGTCATTCTTTGTGACCTGCTGAGGGGTCGAATCCTGCCAGAGTCCTTCCTGCTGGTCACCTCCAGATCTACAGCTACAGACACACTGAGTAAACTTCTCAAAGGACCTCAGCGTTTCTCTGAGATCATGGGCTTCTCTGAGAAGGGGATAGAGGAGTACTTCCAGAAGTTTTTTCAGAATGAGGAGCTTTTCAGGAAGGCGTATACACTTGTGAAGACAAATGAAACTCTCATCACTGCCTGTTCCATCCCTGTTGTCTGCTGGATCATCTGCACAACTATCAAGCAACGATTCAAAAGTGGTGCAGATGTAACAAGTGGACTGGAAACCACCACCTCCATCTATGTTGACTTCGTGTGCACTCTACTGGAGCATCACTGCCAGGGTTTGAGTCAGTCCGTCCCGACCCTGCTGAGGAGTCTGGGTCAGCTGGCAGAGAGAGGGATGCTGGAACAGCAGGTCCTGTTGGATGAGAAAACTGTCAATGAAACAGTTTCAGACCCTGCTGGCAATCCTTTCCTGTGCAAGTTCCTGTTTAAAAGAACAATACGTCAGGAGACGATGTTCAGTTTCATGCATCTCAGCTTTCAGGAGTTCTTCACTGCTCTGTACTATGTCCTTCTGGGTGAAAAAGAGTCCCAGAGGAAATGTACACAGCTATTTTCCATTGATAGGTCAAGTGATGATCGCTTTACAGCTGTGATGCAATTTGCATTTGGTCTGCTGAATAAGGATGTGAGATGCACACTTCAAAGACACGGCCTCTTTGTTCATCCAAAAACACAGGCTCATCTAAAAGAATTGATTTTGAAAGAGCTTTGTTGTGAGTATTTGAGTAGACTTTTTCCCCTTCAATGTCTCTATGAACTTCATGAAGAGGACTTTGTGAAAGAAGCTTTGGAAGCCATGAATACAGTTACTGTATATGGTCCAGCCCTAAGAAGAACAGACTGCTGGGCCCTGATGTACTGCGCTCAGTGCTGTCAGTGCATAGAAGAACTCGCTCTCTATGATTGCAGATTAACTTCTGAAAAGTTGCTTATGATTCTGCCAGTTCTCCACAAGTTTAAGAATTTAGAGTAAGTGCTTTGTTCCAAAACAGATATTCTGTGGATCTAATTCATTCAATTGTATATATGCATACCATCACTAATTGGTTTACTTTTAATTTCTTGCCTGTGGATTTATTATTTTATCATTTAAATGTGTCTGTATACAGATACATATTCTATACATTTTACAAATGTGTCATCATGTTGTTATTGTTTGTTAATGCAAGCTAACTTGATTATTTAGTCTGTGCATTTATCTTCTGGATTTGATTTTGAAGGTTGGGTCTTGAAGGAGTTTCATCAGACTCTGATCTTACTGAATTGATGTGTGCTCTCACAAGAGAACAGACCCTGAGCTCTCATTGGTAATGTCTCAAAATACATTTTATACATGAGCTATCATCTTTCGTTGTATTTTATTCAATGTTTAGTTATTTTTTTCTTTCTGTCATTTTATTCACAGCTTTGATGTCAGCCTCCCATTCACAAACAGTGGAACCATTAATCTGTCAATCAGTAAAGAGCTCTCCAGGTGAAGAAAAAGTGATTTTTTTCTGTTCATTAAGAGTCATTTCTCATGATAACCAGAAAAGTGATCTGATGGTTATATTTTGGGTAACCAGTTATATCATCACCTTATTTAATAACCATTACAGCTTAATCTACCAGTACACGTGTACGTCAAGTCAAGTCACCTTCATTTATATACCTCTTTATACACTAAAGATTGTTTCAAAGCAGCTTTACAGTGATAACATGTACATTGCATACATTTTAAAATACGTACAAGCCTTTTCCTGGCAAACATATGACATTTATCTGGCCTGTTTTTTTCTGCACAATCTAATACATTCAGAATTATGGTGGTAATATTGCAGCTAAATTGGTGACCCAAAACAGATCAAACAAAAGTATCACACTTTCAGCTTCTGTGATTACTGCTGAGGATGCAAATAATGACATCGTAATAATAATAATAATCATAATAATAAATAAAAAAATCACAAAAAGTAATTCTAAGAAAGCACTTGTTGGTTTACAGACATAACAACAACAATATTAATACCTGTTTTTGTTTTTTATTTTTTTGTTAATAGTATCCACATACTTCTTCCATGGTGGGAAGGAGCATCTTTGCGAACACTCAATCTCGGCTTTCCAAAAGCAGGTCTAATCGACATCGACTGGACCAGACTTTCTCAGACAATTCACAGTGGGGACACAGATGTGATAATGTCTGTTCTCCTTTCTTTCTCTAATCTGAAAAAGATGGAAATGAGTGTGCGCTGTCTAAGTAAGATGTGGTCTGCTTGGACTCTCCAAATCATGCAGAACTGCTTCAGTCTAACAGAACTCGTGTAAGAAAAAAAATATGAAATCACCTTCTGTCTTATTTCTATATGAATTGGTCTGTTGTTAGGAACTGTGTAGCCCTTATTTAAAGAGATAGTCCATCCAAAAATGGAAAAATCTGTCATCTATTTTACTCGCTCTCATGTTGTGCCAAACCTGCATTTACTTCTTCTGAGGAACACAAAAGAAGTCCTTTTAAAGAATAGTGGTGTCCCAAACAGCTTCAGATGTCATTAACTTCCATTGTATGAACAAAAAATACAATGGAATTCAATTTGAATGAATGTTTTCTTAACAACCTGTTCAAATCTTTGTGTTCGGCTGAAGAAAGTCAGTCATACAGGTTTGGAATAACATGGCCCTCATTAATTTAAATCACTATGTAATTGTTCAAATTAATATGTGTAAAAGAAAGTATAATATATGGAATTATCAGTCCCTAAAATCCAAAGAATTGTATGTGTATAATGTGTCTCCATATATAGGGTAAAAGCTGACTTTTTACTGGAGGAAGAAATCAAGATCTTGCAGAGGTCACGCAGAAGACCAGCATGTATTGTGACATTCCAGGGGTTTGTATTGGTTTATCATCATTTTTTGTTTTCCATGCAATTTAATGGAGACTAGATCTTTCAACCTTTAAAAAGGACACAAAAAACATGAATGCATAAATTATGAATATTCCAGAAACAAACCAAAAGTTTGAGAATTGCTATTCATACATTTATTTTTCTTTACATTAACCCTATCTCCTAACTGTTAGCAGTCAATAACAACTAAAATTGTCTGTTTCTCAAAAAATTCATTGTTACAGCAGTTTGTCAGGTTTGTTAAAGACTCTGTAGTGATGCTGTGCTTTGTGCTTTCTGATGAAGGTACATGTGCAATAAACAGTCTCAAAAATGCACACATTTGAATGACAGTTGGCTTAGCTGCAACCAGGAGGTGAAGATTCATCTCAATTCCCAGGGCTTTTCTATGGAGACTTTGCGAAAGTAAGCTATGACTAATATTAACACTAAGAATGCACCAGTAATAAGATGCACCAATGATGAGAACTGCATGACCTTTTTTTAATGATTTATACAATTACATATTAATATTGTATATTAAATGTACAAGTTTTCAGTGCAATAGCATATGAGCAGTGTGGATCTTAACATACTGGTCGGCTTTGAATATAGACATATTTCTACATGATTTATGTGTTTTGTCTCTTGTCTCTCTTCATTTCTAAGGCCCTTATTTATGAGCTAATGGCACAGCTTGATAACTTGGAGAAAATTGCTAAAGCTGCATCTTTACCTAGGACCGTGATGAAGACGTCAACCAAAACGTATAGTAATAGTCATGTCAATTTATTTGTATATTGCGTTTGCGTTTCACAATACATATTGTTTCAAAGCAGCTTAACAGAGTTTTACGATGTTGATGCTTATTGTCTAATTAACCATTTAAGAGCTGAATGCTATAGTTTATATGTGAAGAATGAGATTTGAGATTGCTTTATAATATATCGCGTGACCATGTAAGAGTATTGTATGTATACATGCAGAACAAAATTGAATAGTATATGGGGTTTTAATTTACGCAGAGAAATGTCAAATTATGTATCTGTAAGGTTTTGTACAATTTATAATAATTTGGTGTATTGACAAGCCTATTTACTAGTATTTGATGATGTTTATCACTGCCACAGATAAATGACAGGTTTTAAGATTTTGGTCATATTTTAGGGACTTCATTATTGGTGCCTTTTAGAAAAGTCATATTAGAATCTGGAATTTATGTGTTTTGATTTTACAGTATTGAGACTTAAAAACAAACGAATAAAACATAAAAACAACATTTCTGTCTCTGTATTTGAAGTTACATCGATCATTAATTAAAGGAAGGTGGCACATCCAGAAACAATTCACACAAAAGTCTAATCTTGTTCTATCTATGTTCAAATGTACCGGTATATATCTCTGCAGCAGCTTGTTTTCTCACTCAGCAGCATGTGTATATATGGTTGTATTGAATATTTAAACAGCAATGTCTGTGAATGTATTGGCAGTAGCAATACTTGCTCTGTATTTGCTCATCAGTGTGTCTGTGTGTCATCATTGTCGGTGTGTCTGTCTGTCTGTTATATTAATTGCATATCTCTTGAACCGTTCACACTGTAAACCCTAATGGTCAAAATAATTAATTGGTTTGAGTAGGCCAAACTTAAATTCAACGAATTAGTTCAGTCAAATTAATTTTTATGAGTATTTAGCACTTTCTTTTTCTTTCAAGTTCACAGAACTGATATATTTTATGTAAACTGAACTGTTTCATTGTTTTGAGTTTTATGATATTATATATTTTAATTTAGACGAACTTAACTGAAACGGCTGGGATATCTATTTCCCAGCATGCTTTGCCGATGGCAAAAAAGATTAATGTTAAGTGTGAGATTTAGTAGTGATTAATGTTTTGTTATGCTAATTTAGAAGAATTTCTGTTAATGTTGGCTTTAGGATATAGTTACCATCATGGTGACAAGTGGTGTGTAAGTGCTTATAACATACTGTTTCTAATATGTTAGCATTTACTACGTCAGCAGATTAGCTTTTAAAGCTAACTTTATACTATTAAAAATGATTTGAGTTCTGCCAACTTATTCGGGTTTACAGTGTACTTCATAGATTTAAGTTATAGTAACTAATAAGTACTATTAACTTTATTTACTCAAGTTATCTTAACAATAAGTTATTGAGTTATGGAAACAAATCTCATATATTTTATGCTTAAATTGTTTGAGTTAATAAACTTAAATGATTTAAGGCAATCGGTTTCCTCAAACGGTTTGAGTTGAACTAACTCATCAGGTTTTACAGCGTCCGTTCGATGGGTTTCAAACTTGACAGGTTGACAGGTCTTGCTACGGGCACGAGTAAGTGCAGTACCAAGTTTGACGTTGCTTAGATTAGAAATACAAAAGATATCGTTAAATATATCGTTAAAAGACGCACACATTGAAGTTGTGGTTTAAAAATAAACATTTGTCAGCTAAACATAGAAGCATATGAGTAACAATATTCAATTTGAAATGTAATATGCAAAATGACAATGCAATATGTAAAATGGCTTTGCATTCTGTATTTAAATTCACATTTTATATTACCAGTCTAGCAAGGTTTGGTGCAAAATAAAAATGAAATTACATAATTTACATTTGCCATTTCATACACTAGTTTTAATATGCATATTGAAACGCTTTATAAGTGGCAAAATGAAAATGAAAATGCTGACCACATGATGTGCCGCACATTCTTCTCCTCAATGCGGCCGCCGCTGTGTCGAACACATTCATGCAGTGCGAGAAATGCTCGAGGACCATGACGTAGAAGTCCTGCTGGTCCTGCCAGTCCAGCAGCTTGATGATGTCCATCGCTGGACCATTTTTACTGGCCAGGATTGTCAGAGCGACTTCTTTGGGAAGGGGGTTGGGATGATCAGGCTGGAAGAAAGAAATATTATATGATGTCAGATGGTTTTAACTTGGGACAGTTTAGTTAAACAGTTGGTCTGCTGGAAAATCACTACTACTCACAATGCTGATACATTCTGTGCTTTAAGTCTTTGGGATGAATTTCACTGCCACCTGATGGACAAAACAAAAAGCAATTAATGTGTGTGGAGATCATATCATAAATTCCAAGCAAGAATTTAAACCCTAACAGGTCAAGAAGAGCCATAAATAGTGAATATATGATACAGTAAGATGTCTTGCATAGGATAAAGTGAGAGATCAAAGGATGAGAAATAATTCAGATCAAAAACAATTCGCTAAACTAGTAGTGGTAAGTTTTAAAAAAAGTCAAACCTTCCGGCCATCCAAACGAGCATATCGGCAGCAAATGTTGTCTGTTAAAAGATGAAGAGAAGAAGACGATGTTTAGTGGTGATTTGCAGATATTGTGAGATTATGGTTGAGGACTGTGGCAGAAAACTCACCCTCAGGTCTCATGTTCTCTCTTGGTTATGGAAAGGAGACGTTTCACCCGCTGTCAGACGGACTGGAGCGTCGTGGACTTGAGTTTGAAGCTCTTCTTGCACCAGAGGCTCAGCAGCGGGAAGGACTTCAGGATCATCGACAGGAGGTTCCTCGAGATCAATGACCTCTACACATCTAGAGATGCACTGTAGAGACTTTAGATCTAAAGAGGAGAATATCAGCACAAGTTAGCTAGCAGTCCATTAACTGGTCAAAACAAAAAAATACTGATTTATTAGGAAAAGCGAATATTTGATATTAAAATTAATTACTAATTGTTCACCTATTGAATTTTAAAGTACAACGTAAAATATTACTAAGTTTTACACTGTTGATGTTACTTATATTATTTTATTATAGAGAAAAAAAATGCTGTAGATGTAAATGAAGTGAATTCTTCATAGGATATTCAATATATATTTTTTATAACATTGTCTTTTACCGTCAGAACTTCTGTATGTTTTCGTCACTTGAGCCTTCATCATCTCACTCTGATCTGAGCTTTTTGCTGGATTCTTTCTTGCATCTGAAAGAGAGACTCTTAAAGATGTTGAAGTCACCCACTTTCTTTTTCTTCCTCTTCAGACGAGAGATGGGAGGCTTCTTGTCAGGCCGATGAGGAAGATGTTTCTCCGCCATGCAGCTGCTGGGGTTTGAGCATGGTGGTCGTGACAACATTATGAAAATGTCTCAGATGTCAATTAAACTAAGATGTTAAAGTATCACTTAAACCAAAAATTAAAATTTTCCTTTTACACAATGTTGTCTTAAACCTGTGTGACTCTCCTTTGATTAAGGCTAGTGTTAATTAAAGGGACTTGACAATATACTTTGCAAGAGACGCCTGTATTTTCCATGTATAGTATTTCTACATAAAACAGCATGTTCGATGAAGAAAGAGCTGTAATTGTTCATAGAAAATATGAAATAAATAAAAATGACAGACAGAATTGTGCTGGTCAAACACTTAATGCCCTGGGTTTATTAAACATTTTTTGTCATATAAGTTGTTTTTTTTTTTATTCATTCTTCCAGGTGGGACTAAAAAACACCTCAAAGATTGATGATGCCATTGGAACGGGCACTCAGATTGTGGTACATACAAACAACAACTACGAGTAGCCTTGTGAGGTACCGTCCTCTTCACAGAAGAGAGCTCATGCTGGCCCCACAGGAAGGGTGCCACCATGAAGTCTTACAGGAAACAAAACGTCCCTTTTTGTTCGTTTTCCTTTTTTCATATAAAGTGGAATGATGATGATAAAGAAACATACTGAGATGTCACTGTAGTCCTCTCCCTTATGAACTACTGTTTCACACAAACAACAGACAGGGGATGTACAATCAGTCATCAAAAACAGAGGTAATAAAAATAAACCCATCTTTTAAGTTTCACAAACCCCAAATGAAAAAGGGTCTCTCAGATTCCAGGAAAAATAAAAAGACTCAAAAAGAAATCATACAAAAGCAGCATTGATTAAAAAAAAAAAAAAAATTAACAAAAAAATAGTGCTTGAATGGAGTGGGAACAGCCACAAGAGAAGGAGAGAGACAGACAGATGAACCCCTGCTGCTTTTCCAACAAGAGATGTTCACATACAACTGCTTTACCTACACACACACACACACACACACACACCCGCACACACACACACACACACACACACACACACACACACACAGAGAGAAACCCAGGAGGTTACAGTGTAGTAAAAAAAATTAAGAATTTAAAGGGGGGGAAAAAACAAAACTGTAAACACCTCACAATAAATAGATAAAACAGCAGGTTTTGCACCATGCATGTGACACATACATTCAGATACAGTCTCACAAACACTTGAACATTCACAATCTCCGACACACGCACAAACTGCACACACACTACGAAAATCGCAGTTTTTTTCTGATTTTTTTTCCCAAGTGCAAAACATCACAAATGAACGATTTCTGTATTCAAGTAATGTTATATACAAGTGGGGTGTATTACAAATATGTATGTACATAGAATATTTTCAATATTTCATAATTTACAGATGTTGATATTTTAACAGTAACAAAATTTGAAAAAAAAAAAAAAAAAAAAAAAAAAAAGATGAGCATTGCAATTAAGTCCCAACGGCTGCCACGGAAACAGCGTCGCTACGATGCATAGCACCTAAAGGAGACGCCTCGATTGAGAGGTGGTGTGTGAACGGCAGAGGGGGGCGGGGCTACGTGACCTCCATGGCAACTGTGTTGTCTGTTAGACTGTTTAACGGCGGCTTCTCTTGATCGTGATTTTCCCTGCAAGACAAAATTCGATTAAATCAACTGATCATGCGACTTTAAATTAAACATTACTTAAGTGTACTTTTTTGACTGGTATTGGTACCGAATACTGAAGCACTAATCAATACTATTTTTTTCTTCTAAATTTCTAAAAAAAAAAAAAAAAAAAAAAAAAAAAAAAAACACCCTTTGCAATTTGATTGCAATAAGCAAAATCACTATTTTAGTTTTATTTCAATTAATTGCACAGCCCTACTTTTAATTTCCTTTTAAGGAATATTCCTTTCATGCCACACATATTCTCACCTGGGCCCCATGTCGAGTGTAGTTGACCCTGCCGTGACCTTTGGGATGGGTCTGTTGGCGTTGACAGCGAGTTTTAGGGCAGAGGCGGGAACGGTGACCTGACGCTGCAGCTGCCGCACACTCAAGGTTCCTGCCGGTGACGGCACGCTCATTCTCACGGCCCCGCCCACCAGCGCTTGGCCAGGGGCGGGGCCGGCTGTGCCGACGTGATGATTGGCCGAGGAGGTTCCGTTGTTAGTGGTGGTGGTGGCAGCAGCGGGAGAGGGGGATGAGGTGAAGGTAGGGCTGGCAGACGGAAGGATGGACGACACTGCAGAGCTTGTGTGATGTAAACCCTTATAGACGCCTGTGGAGTCAAAGCTCACGAGTCAAAAATAAACCATTATATTATATATAAAGTGAAAGTGTACAGTTTAAAAGACCAACCTGAGGCTGAGACGACTCCATTGACACCAACTCCGTCCTCTTTACTCTTCAGCGCCATCAGCTGGTCAGAAGTCATCAATGCAGAGGCAGCAAACTGAGCACTGGCCGCATCTATCGTCTTTGACACCAAACTCTGAGAGAGAAAAAAAAAAAAAAAAAAAAAAAACATTAATGGATAAACCAGAGCAAAAGACATTTTCCATTCCAAATTCTTGCTCATGATATGAGGCACCAGAGAATGTAAGGGACACTGGACATTGACTGTCACAGAAGGCTGACCTGTGGGTTGTTGGTGACGGCTGTGCCGCCGACCCGCTGCTGTAGTTGAACCTGTTCAAGCTGCTGTTTCTGCATCAGTGCGAGATGCTCCAGGTGCTGCTGGTACTGCTCAGGGGTGAAAGCTGCAGGAGCACACAGAGAACAGATCAGTGACGTCACATCCAGGACAAGAAATGCAAAAACAGTCAAGCGAGAACATTGACGTCGGGAATTGACATGATCAAACATTAAATTACACTAATGAAAGTTATTCTAACATTTCATAGGTAAACTGATAAAAGCAAAAAGGTTTATAGGTCAGAAGTGGTTTACAACCCACAACAAAGCCCTGTTTTAAGATGGTTTCTGATGAAATAGAACAATTAAGATTGGAATTTGGACACCTGGTGCTGTCCTGAGAATTTTCGGTTTCCGTGGTTGAAACAGAAAACAGGGCTTTAAGTACAAAAAAATTGCAATTTATTTAACCAATATTGCCATTGTGATTTAATATGCAATTAGGGCTGAACGATTTTGGAAAATAATCTAATTGCGATTTTTTTTAACCAATATTGCGATTGCGATTTAAAAAAAAAAAGTTATTTACCTTCTGTATTAGTCGACAAAGACAAGCAATAAATCATTGTACAGTAGGGATGGGAATCTTTAGATAGCTCATGATCCGATCTACTTTTTTTCTTATTAATTAATCTTAATAACTCTTAAAATATGTATTTAATTACATGTGTAAAAACACATACTTTAAAAAATAAATATAAAAAAACATTTAATTAAACCAATTACATGTTAAGAATTTTAAATACGCTATATGAACTAATATAACTTCAAAATATAAAAGCTAGTAAATAAAAAGGGGGGGGGGGGGAAAAAGCATTACAAGCAATAAACAAAGAGCGCATTCAGTATTTAAAAGTGGGCTGTCTAAATGTTTTGCATTCAAAAGCAGGAGTGATTCCCCCCTCAGTTTAGATACGATAAGCTGCATTCACACTAATGCCTTTTAAAATTGTAAAATGTGGTTTGTCCAGTTGGTTTAAGATATAACTGACCGTGTTTACATTAATTTCGGGTCATAAAAGCATTTTGAGATGCAAGTACATTTACCAATGAGTCGCTCACGGCCGCATGCACGAGTGCAATTAATCATTCAGACCTAATAACTATTGTTTATTGTTAGGTCACTCTATCTAATGTTATCTAACAAATAAAATCTTAATGTAAAGTGTTTTTAATACTACAGTTTCTATCTTTGTAACAGTGATATACACTTTAATAATACATGTCAAATTTAATCTAAATTAAGCTTTGGTACCGAAATTGGTATAGAGAACCATGGATTTTCACTGGTATTGGTATCGAATACTGAAATTTTGGTACGAAGACAACACTAACAGCTATACACAAATGGTGTGGCAACAGTGGACTCACCCGGTGTGGGTGGGGGGGCAGGTGGTCTAGTGTAGGAGGCGGGGCCTCTCTGCGTCTGAAGCTTGCTGATTGGGCGGATGAGGAAGCCACGGCGAGGTCTCCGTGCAGACCAGTGCTCGGGATTGTCGGGATCATCTGGCGGTGCCGTCCGAGGCTTGAAATGCCTCCAGCGACAGGCTTTGATGTTGAGCAGGACTTGTGTGAGGTCAGGTGAGGTGGAGGAGGGGGCAGAGGTATCTGTGCTGGTGTGTGAGGTATCCATGCTAGGCTGCTGGGTGGGAGACAACGATGGGAATGCGGGGGAATCCGGGTCCAGCCCATGATACACAGTATCCAATTCAGAATGGGCTCGGTCTAATAAAACCCTACAAACAGATGAGAGAAAGATATTTAGCTTCTAGAGTGAACGTGGGATCAATATTTCTTCCAGCATATATGATCAAAATCATTAAATTAGGACAGTCAATAATTAAATATTTGAACGAATTAACTGCATGATCTGCCAATTAATAATTTTTATTCACAAATAAAAGCACAATATTTATTGAGAAAAATCAATCGGATGTTATATTTACATATACACATTTGTACTACCTTCATTTACATTAATTTGCACATATATATGCTAAATTCAACACTTACTCAAATGTGAAAATTGTCATATTACTGCAGCTAATTGCAAGTATTAATTGGTGAGATCCAATGAAGATAATACAAATGAACTGTATCATACAATTTAATCATTCAATTTATACTAATTAAGTTGCAATTTATAAATAATGATAATATTTGAATGAAACTATTTTCGTAGCAAATTTATAAAATACAATTAACTGAATTTATGAATATTTTATATATATATATATATATAAACTCTACAAATTAACTGAAATATACATACCGGTATAAAAGTTCTCAAATTATGAGAATACGAATGAACTGAAGGCAAGGCAAGTTCATTTACATAACACATTTCATACACTTTGGCAATTCAAAGTGCTTTACAGAAAGGATTTAAAATAATCACAAAATAAAGGCAAAGAAAATTACAACCGTTGTAAAAGAAATTAAAATATACAATAAATTAAAAGAATAAAAAGATGATGCATAGATAAACTTCTCATCTGGCAAAACACCGGTGTAGCATTTTCCACAACTCCCAGTATTATTCTGTGATTTCTTCATGGTGATTACACCATCTATGGTGTTCTTTTTTGAGTGCCTAAGAAATCTATTGGACGTCTCTGATGAAGTGCAACTGTTCATAATTCATAAAACATATTTGCTGGGATAATACTAAATAACTGTAGTACTGTAAGGAGCTCAACTCACCTGCCCCCTCTGCCCACTCGTCGCCGTGCCAACCCCAGGCATCTCCGCGGGACCGTGAGCATGGTGAGAGAATAGCGATACCGCACATCTGCTACCCCGCCCTCGGAAGGGTCGGACCAGGGCCAACTGGCCACAAGTCCCGGACGTACCTTAGAGGAAAAAAAAAAAAAAGAAAAAAAAGAAAAAGATAATCATTTACTAAGACTATATGGATCAGACAGCAGCCTCTCACTGGATGAGAGAGTACCATTTTTCAATTCACGCATATTGAGATTACAACGTATTACAACGTACAGCTTGATATTGGCAGCCTGTTCTCCTCCTGAACCCAAACACACCATCTGGATCGTTCTCCTCCTCGACTTCTGAAGAACCAGAGAGCATCTGAGGAAATGAAAAGGAGAATGTTAAACCAACAGAAAGCAGGAAAGGATTCCCATGAACCTCTGTGAATTAACACGACTACCTGTGAGAAGGGTTCATCGTCTGAGCTGGGAAAGTCATACTGATTGAGGTCTTTAGTGTTAAAGACTGCCGGGCCTGAGTGAACAGAGCCTGCAAACGGCAGTGGCTTTGCCTTCTTCTCATACTTCCGTTTCTGCCGCACAACCTCTGGCTTATCCATCTATAGCCGAACATTAGAAACAAATACACACCCCGTTTATTAAATAACTATCACTAAATAATACTGTTGTACTGGACAAAAATGTGAACACATTGCCCAGATAAACACAGCTCTGAGCATGTACCTTGATTTTGTAGTCCCGGTCATGTTCTGTGTGTCTGTACTGGTTGCTGTTTGTGATTGGGATCAGAGGGATGACTGGTTTCTCCAAAGCCCTCTGAGCCAAAACTTCTGCCATCACCTCCCCTCCAAAATCAGCCATGTTGTTCCTAGACACACACACACACACACACCATGAGCTCAAACAATTCCCACTCCAGGGATAACCAATCTATAATACCAATTCCCAAAACAAGGAATTTAAGAAGTGTCTGTGTCTACTGGAATTTAAATTTAGCATGAAAAAGCAATTTACGCACCAATAAAATATTTTAGAGCGGAATATAAGAGACATATATTCAAAACATGATCAAATATATTTACTACAGAAATTTTATTGATTTTTCTAGGTCTGGACAGCACTCAAACTTCCTGTTCTTGATATCTCCAGGTTCAACTTGATCACACGACTCCAGGACCACAAATGAAAGGTGTATGACGTTTGCGTGTACCTCTTCTCTACGATCTCCAGCGTGAGGTGCAGCAGCTCTCTTTTGCTCTTCTCTCGTCTCTTGATCATCTCCAGGATGGTGACGGCCCGGCTCAGGTCCCTACGCAGCTTCAGCATTTTCTCGTAAGATGCTTCGTCGTTCTTACGATTCTGTAAAGGAAGAAAACTTGTAAATCTTTTCTCTTGCGAATCCATAAGCAGAGTCACTTCCTTCCCAGAGTATGTTTCTTCTCTTACCTTTCGGGTCTGCATCTTCTCCGTTCTGCGCCTGAAGGCCACGTAGGGGTCACTGGTGCTGGAGCCGTCACGCTTCTCCTGTTTGACAATAGGGATGAAGGAACCGCTCTGACACGCTTTCCTCTTCCTGCTCCAGTACTCGTACACCTCCTTTATCAGCTCATCATCCTCCTTCAACAAGAGTTTGGCCTCCTGCAGAGACACCGGCTGAGAGAAAGAATGTTTCTAATTAAGCTTCTTCTCAAAATAACAGGCTTTTGAACATTAATACCATTAGTAGTGGTCAAAAGACTGTCAAGGCTGAACATGGGATTTTTTTTCTTCAGGTCTAGTTGGGCCTTTTAAGTGGGGTCACTCTCATGGAGGCGAACGATAAAAATTGACAGGCAATTACAATCAATAAACAAACTAATTATTTTATTCAGCAAGGATTCATTAAATTGATCAAAGGTGACAAACACTTTGTTGCATTATAAAAGTCTTTCCTGCAAAAAAACAAAACAAACTTTTTATTCATCAAAGAAACCTGAAAAAAAATGTATATGTTTTCCACAAAAATGTTAAGCAGCACAACAGTTAATCAGCATATAGGAATGATCTGAAGGATCACATGACGCTGAGACGCTGAACCGAGTCATGGCTCATCAATATGTTACCCCTTTTCCACCAAAAAAAGAACTGGTTTGGAAGTGGTGCTGGTTCAAAGTTGGTTCGGAGTTGGTTCAACTTGCGTACCCATTCAGAACCTGTTTGTTTTTCCACTGACTAGAGCGCCCAGGGAACGACGTCATTACGTCACTGTGTACGTTGCCATACGTCTTAGAAACGCTTGCAAATACAACATTACTTTGGGATTATCTCTAACTCGTGTACCATGAAAGCTTTAAAAACAATTGAAATATGCAAGTCTTAAGCTTTTCATTTGATATGTAATCTTTTCTGATAAGTTATGTACCCCTGTCTTGTGTCTTTTTTTTTCCTTTCCATTTATTTGTTCTATATTGTGACTGTTTTCTTCTTTGCTTATAATGTCTTCAAGCACAACAATTACAAAGGCGGACTCCATCGTGTTTCTGCAAATGTTTCTATTGGTTTTGCGATCCTTTATTATGGTCAGAAAAGATGTTTAGAACACATCTAAACCCGCCCCAAGCCCCCGACATAAGCATGACGTGGTAAAAGAACGGTTCTAGTCCAGCAAAGTTGGTGCCGCTTTGGAACCAGTTCTCCTGGCCGAGAACCGGTTCTTTGGCTGTCGAAACACAAAGAACTGGTTCGCGCGTAGGCATCAGCTCCGAACTGGCTCTCAAAATGCTTTGGTGGAAAAGGTGCTAATAAGGATATCTTCAAACAATTATAGGTCGAAATTAATTCTCTATAGATTTAAACCGGTGGTATGCTGTCCATTCACAAGGTTGACAATCAGAATGAACTACTACTGCTGATCAACTGGCCTGACTCATACATCAGCCAATGAATAATTATTAGTTCTACTGGGCTTACAGTTTGACCCATAAATCAGCTGCAGAACAAGCATGCCCTTACAGAAACACTAGTGCAGTCAAGGGAACAGTTCATGCATTCAAACATAAATAGCTTTAATATGCTTAACAAGAAACAAACACACACTTTAATTTTCCTCAAGCAAGCAAAACTTGTTAAAGCTACACTCTCATCTGCAAATGTTATCAATTCAAAACAGTCTTGTGGTCTAAACTGCAAAGCACAGCAACGCCAAGGTCATGGGTTTAATTCCAAGGCAATGCATAAACTGATAAAACGTATACCTTCATTGCAATGCAAGTCACTTTGGATAAAAGGATCTGTCAAATGAATAAACATGCAAATGTAAAAATTTTAATTGTATCTAAAGCGGTCCGCTATTTTTATTATAATATTGTGATTTATCAGAATCCATAAAGACATTGACATGACCATGACCAATAGTCAAGTAAAATCCATCTGATGGGTCTCTAAAATTAAACTCTTCTTGAGCACAGATCACAAAACGTAAACGGGCTCAAGATCAAAACCACAATTAAAATCCTTAAAAAATTCAAAGATATCTACAGTTCTGACTATTCCCAGTTCTGTCCGCCTCTGGTACCTGCTGTCCGCTGCCTTTCTCCAGCCTGTCGATCATCTCTTCAAACTGCAGGGCCCCTACATCCATCTTCTTCTTCAGCTTATTTACAAACGCCTCATCCTCAGAGTCCAGGTCGTAATCTGGCTGTTCTGTGTCCAGACTGAACGCTGTGTGTAACAAGTGGGAAAGAACAACCTGAGTCAAAACAGTTTTAATGTGAACCAAAACCACAATAATTTAACTTTGACTGCAGGTAAACAAACAGACCATGTAGTCATTAAAGGTTGACCATGCAAATTAGTCGATGTGTGGTTTTACTATGTAATATTTATTTATGAGACTCCCATCTCTAACGGCTCACTGTAATTCACCTCCACACAACAGTCTGTGGGCCCTACTGGTTAATATACTATCCTCCTCCCCACCTTGACTGCTTTAATATAAAAAATTGCGGAGGCAGGTGACCGTTAGGGTTGCCGCGGTGAGGAAAATTTCCCACCGGTTAATCGACGTGTGACAACACCGGTAATCCCGGTGTCACCGTGGAGGGCAGGGCGGGGGGGTTAAATAGCTTTTAAATGCGTGCGCGTTATACTTTCACTTTCGAAATAAGCGTCAATTGCTTGAATGGACAAAAAAAAACAACTCGCTGATAATAAAACTTTTATTTATAGACTTTTATTAGCATAACGAACGAATAAAAATAACCCCATGCATAGGCTGAAAAAAGTGAAAATCGGCAAAATGTGGGCCCAAACAAATAAGAACCATAAAACGTTTATTAACGAATAAGAAAATAAAATAGGCCTAAATAAATTACACAAAGTTTAAATGAGATAAAACCAATTAAAAAGAGACGAATATAAAATAAAAACTTCAAAACGGACCTTAGCCTACATAAATGACATACTTTCACTTTCGAAATAAGCGTCAATTGCAATTCAGCGTCAATTGCTGGAATGGACAAAAAAAAAAACAACTCGCTGACAATAAACTTTTATTTAGACAGCACTTTTATTAGAATAATAAACGAATAAAATATAGACAGAACTTTTATTAGCATAACGAACGAATAAAAATAAAGTGAAAATCGGCAAACTGTGGGCCCAAAAAAAAAAAATAAAACGTTTATTAACGAATAAGAAAACAAAATAGGCCTAAATAAATTAAAGTTTAAATAAGATAAAACCAAATAAAAAGAGACGAATATAAAATAAAAACTTTAAAAAGGACCTTAGCCTACATAAATGACAGCACTCTGACAAATGACAATCTTCCGCCATTATCTTGCTTTTCTGTAATTTGACTCGTTCTCGTCTCCACACGTGCTAAATGGAATCCTGATGCTTGCTGATCTGTGACGTGACGGCACGCGTTGCGCAGTTCATTTTTAATTATAATGCTTTAAAAAAAAAAAAGTCAAGACATCGCGGTGTCACGGTGGGAAAGTGATGTCACCGGTGATGGGGCTTAAAACCGGTAACACCGTCAACACCGTCTATCGCGGCAAGCCTAGTGACCGTGCTTTCACACTGGGCTCGTTTGCTGCGGTCCGAGCCGGAGCGCATTTGTTCCTGGCGCCCCCCGCAGCGCTTGGTCTGGTTTCACACTCAACTTAATTCTACCGAACCCTGGTGCGTTCCCCTTGTTCTGAGATATTCGTTCTGGGTAAAGGCTGAATGACTCACGCTGTATGTGAATGAGCTGTTTGGGCATCCTGAAGTCCCCCGGATAGAGGGACTCATAGTAGGCGATGTTGCTCTCAGCCTCTGGGACGGGAATCACCATGTTGTCTCTCTTCTCCCCGTACACCTGCTGAGCAGAGATCGCCCGCTGGAGATGGTGCTCCTACATAAACACACAGACACGCAAGACAAAATTTAATTAATTTATTAAATCAAGTGCAGTTTAACATGGGGTTTTAAACGTTTACTTTAAATTTTGTTCAGAGAGACAGGTTTAAGAACAGAAAACAATATAAGTGAATAAGTAATGTGAAGATTAGGCAAATTAGTCCGGTGAAGTAGGACTGCGCACGACTTTCCAATTCTCACTGGATTTCGTCCTTCATTTTAAAAAAATAATATATTTTTTTATGAGCCCAAATATTCAAATTAAATATTTTTGAAAAATGCTCACCCCTGATCTCAAAGCATTGCGACCTCAAAAGTTGAATGCAACAGTGCAAGTGCAAAACACAGAGGCCAGATGAGAAGAAGTCTACAACACTCAAACAGCACAATGTGTCACAAAACTAGGGACGCACAGAAATGTAAATTCTGGGCCGACACCGAAAATTCGGATTTTTATTATTAAACTAAATGATTCCAAATTATTTACTTATCAACATGCAAATAGCCATTGCACATACAGGAGTTATTTAAAAATAATAATAATAACGATTTTATCTATTAATTTAAATGACAATAAACTTTTATAACTTGTTTTCATTACAGATTTAGGCATATTCAAACATAGCCTGAGAGACATCACTAAAAGGCCAAGTAAAAATAATGAATAGGTCTATTTACAGCACATATTTAGAAAAATGCTAGAGTTACCTCTAACTACAGGTCAGAAATGAGTATAGACACTAGCTTACTTGAGGTAATTGTAAAGTTAAGTGACATCGTATAGCCTACAATTCGTTGTATTGATGTCTTTCCCAGAGGAAACACTAATTGAGCATTTACATGAAACAGGATTCACTTTGTTTTAATAGGGCTGCACAATATGGTTTGCAATGATGTTAAAATAACACTTTGCTACAGTAAAACACAGCAGTTCACTTGAAGTTGTAGGGATGTTTTCTAGTCACAAAAAGAATGTAAACCGCATATGTAGGGCTTTTAAAAAAAATACTTTATAGATAATTTAAGTTTATTTTACACACTAAGCATTATCATATCGCATATCAAATATCGCATTATTTAACGAGTTACCGCATTTTTCTTCAATATCGTGAAGTCCTAGTGTTTGTTTAACTTTTTAGCACCACGGTAGCATCACGGCTATTGAAATGCCAAATAAGGTCAAATACATAAAATTGATTATTATTAGGGTTGTCAAACGATTAATAGCATCCAAAATAAAAGATTGTTTACATGATATGTGGGCGCACTGTGACTGTGTATAATTATTTTCTATATATGAAGAGTTCAGATGCAAAAGCCTCTAAGTGCCATTTGAAATTTTATTCTAGAATGACCATTTTTATCAAGCTTGTATATTTAAGTTCAGTGATTTCACTTAAATGACAATTAATAGGTAATCTTCATTGCCATTTAAGTGAAATTACTGAACTTAAATATACAAGCTTGATAAAAATGATCATTTTACAAGAAAATTTCAAATAGCACTTAGAGGCTTTTGCATCTAAACTCTTCATATATATATATATATATATATATATATATATATATATATATACATATAAACAAACACACAAGCATGTATATTTAAGAAAAAATATTATTTATATATAACATATTTATATATAATATAAATTATATATATATCTATATACAGTATATACATGAAAATATTTCTTAAATATATATACAAGTGTGTGTGAATGTGGGGCCACTGTGTATAATTATTATATATATATAAATAATGTAAGCAAACTTTTATTTTGAATGTGATTAATCGTTTGACAGATTATTCGTTTGATTATTATATAAAACGCTGTGCTAAAAAGCGCCAAAGACATTTGTTTGAATTTAAAAGTTGAAGCTCTGCTTCATACTAAAAGTAACAAAGCTTTTTTGTGATTATTGGATGGTAGGCATGCTACAAATGTTTAGTTAAGTTCATCAACAGAAAACCCGCACAGAACATAAGATTTTAGATAGAAACCATATCATTACCGATTAAAACAGAGAAAGTAATATCACCAGCATCAACAAAGCTGACATGTTTAACTGTTGTAGCTTGTCCACGTTGTGTGCACACAACTCCTCCGACGGCACATTTTGACTGTTCAGCATCTGTTTTGGTCACTGATTTTTATGTAAAAATTATGACAATTTTTATGCATCCCTACTAAAAACATCAACTGAACTGAACTAATGGACTGCTGTGGTCTATCCTTAGTTCCCACCAATGCAAGGAAACCATTGACAAAGCAAAGCTGGATCTGTCTGTCAGATGCAAACCAAACCAAAACATTGACATGCCAATACAAAAGAACAGCACATGGCCCAATCTCAGCAGATGGCAAGACACTGACCTCACTGAACAGTTTCTCAAATATACATTAACTAACAAGATTGTGAACACTCACTCTCCAACAAACTAAACTTGTCAACAAAAAGGTTCTTTGTATACACACACATTTACAAATCATCTCAACATTACACATCAACATATGAAATCATTCTAATATGCTCCCTATCTGAACATTCAAAAGAACAGCATTTATTTTGAATATAATTATTTTGTAACATTATGAATGTCTTTACTGCAACTTCAATCAATTGAATGCATTTGTTGAAGAAAAGTAATCATTCCTATTATTAATATTTTTTAAAAGATCTTACCCCAAAGTTTTAAATGGTAATGTGTCCACACAGCAGAACTAGAGTTTTATACATAAGGTGGCAAAAGCGGATTCAGGGACAAAAACTTAATTCATAACCATAACCTGGCATCAAAAAACATGAATGAAACCTAGGATATCTGATTACTTTCCATTACAAACTTATACATACCTAATATATAATAATGTAATTTTAAGACACTGTGACTACACTGCATGTATTACTAGCACAGATGTAAACATAATGAATGCAAGGCTACTTGAACTGTTATTTCCCTTATCTGATTAGCAAAATATCTAACGCTAACTTTCAGTTATTTTAATAAAAGTTGAGGAAGCCTGAAATTTAAACTTCAAACAGGGAAGCCAACTTTTGAGTTCAGCTTTGAGTGCGAATTATTCCTATAAAATTATTACTCATAAGCTTGCGATTCAATATTGATTAGTTCTTTGGACATATCCATGGATATGTATTAGGCTAGACTTAATTTACATTGAAAATCTCTCAACTAACAAACTATACAGGGAATTATTAGAAGTTAAAATTAACAACTTATCTGTATACAATTGCATACAATACTGCCTTTAATAAAATATAATGAATATGTAATAGTGCATAATCTCGGCAAAATGCTCCTCTCTAGAACATTTTTCTTGCTGCTAATTATAGTTTATGATCAGTTCACATGCACCCCTGCTTCGCTTGAACTCAGGCGGCAACAGCAATCTGTCACGACACAGGAATGCCAAAACAGTTTTATCGTTAATTTTATAATAAAACTAACATAATTCGAAAGCTAAGACTTTGCTGTAGAAACGCTGTAGAAGTGCAGTTCATTGTTAGATCATGTTCACTATGGAAAGAAACTAATGTTAAGTAATGAAACCTTATTGTAAAATGTTAAGTTACATTTTAAAATGTATACAAATAGAAAAGTTTAAATTTTTTTAAGTATGGCAATACTATGAGATATTTCAATCAAATTATTGCAGCCTTGAGGATCAAGAGGAGAATTCTTTCAAAAAAAAAAAAAATACATTTCTTAATTATTCCACATCATCTGCTTAAAATCTAGTGAGAAAAATCCACATAGACAAACAAACCACTAATGTTGGTCCCTGATAATATGAGCATATAAAACAGTCAGTGGGACAGCAGCACATACACTCTTCTGCAGTCTCACATAATAACACGAACAGTCTTGACACCTGTCCCATAGTGCTGAGGTTAACACCAACGTCTAGCATTTAAACACATTCACTTTTAGACATGTTTACTACATGCATATTATTTCCCCCAGCACATTTGCACGCATTAACAGACCAATGTGGAAAATGTTAATCATTCTCATTCAAGATTTTTAAATCGAAGATATGCGGAACAAGAACAACGTTGTTTAAAACATGTTGATTTATTTCTTTGATTTTATGCATAAAAAACAACAACTGAGAAACAAATACAGAGACAAATGCCATGGGGGAAATAACATTAGTTTAATGGATCTGATCTAAATATTTCCACATTAGTAATTGCTGAAAGAGAAGACCATTTCATTTGATGTGAATTTGATCAACTGATCTATAACTGATCTACAGAACAGATGAAATAGAGATGTTGGGCTTTAGGTGCCCGTGTTGAGAAAAGAAAACAAGGCCTCACGTGCGCCCCTGCCCCCAGTCAAATGGATCACTACATACACCTAAACAGACCGGTAGGGCCAGATATGCTTCCTGTCAATTCAGAAATGCATTCACAATGCACATAAATGAAAATGTTTCTAAGCATACCTTCATTAAAAAAACACGCGATTAAAAAGAAATGTTTTCTTTAACATGACAGGTTTTCTGACCAAAGCTTGTGGCTCTTAATAAAAAACATTAAAAATGTAACCAAATTGTGGCTCTTTTAAAAAAAAACATCTTTGCATGGCCACTTTGAACTGTTCTAATATGAAACATCACTTCACTGATTGTTTTTGCTGGTGTTAATTGGTCATTTCTGTTTAAGGGCGCAGAGATTGGCGTCCCCTTTGGTTTAGTGCGCGTTACTGCACCTCCACGGAACCTAAGATAAATCAACAAAATGGCGGCCTTCCCCGTGGTCACGTGACTCCTTTGTACTCCGTAAACCGTCTATCGGCAAAAATACTGCGTAGTAATCACCTCCAATGCTATATTTGCAGAGAAAAATGTTTAATATTTGGGTCCAATATACTAAACATCGACCGTATCGTACCGTAGCTAGAGATTTGACGCGTTTCTGCAGGAGAAATGGCGGCCATTTTGTGTACACTGGCGCAGAGAAGCTAGGGACGCGCCTCTGACAAGAAAAATGAAATTATTTCCAAAATACATGATTCGAAGCAATAAAACGTACCGATTCCTCCTCTTTCTCCATCCCCGTGGGCATCTGTGGTACTGCCCGGTTAATAGACGCATATTCGTGCAGATCGGGCAGGTCCTCGCAGCGGAAGACGGGTAGAGGCTTGGAAGCGTCCAGCGCCCGCGCCCGAAACGACAGTTTACTCATTTTTCTTTATATTTCGAGATGCAGCATAAATCTATCCGATCCCCTAATGTTCCCTACTGGTCCGATTAAAGTTCTCATGGATGATGCCGGTTCGGTGTCCAGCAGTGCACGGGTCGCTCGGTGGAGGTGGCGGGGCGAGCAGAGGCGCGAGGCCGGGTGTGGGTCGCACTCTCTCGGTGTGTGTTTCCAACGCGCTCCGGTCCCTGATTCCAGGCTCAGTGCGCCATGGCCAACATGGCGGACATTAAAAACACTCTTTAACGGTTCGCTCGTGTTGGGCGGCCCAACCCCCCGATCCCAGATCAGCCATTCCCACATGGGTTAACAACGCATGCGCCCGTGGAGCGACGGGGGGAGGGAGTCAAAACCACTCCCATTACCTTTTGCAAAGCGCGCCTCTTCAAAAACATCTATTTTTGTCCGGTATGCATTAAGCTAAGCATGATATATAATTTTAATTGATATTAGGGGGGAAAACGCCTAATAATTCTTGGCTGCTGGTTCTACCCAGTCCATCTTGTCAACGACTAAACACGGTAAAACAGGTGATCTATAACAGAAAGTATATCACATTTATACACTATAATTATTTTAGTGCATTTCGTTGTGAATTTGAAAAATAAACTTTAGAAAAAAAATTACCCAGCAACAGAAGTTTTTCTGTTCTTTTTTAAATCAAATTGTTTAAATGATCATTATATATAAATTATTATATATACTGTATATAAACATTATAAATAGTTACTGTCCCATTTGATATAAATTCCCATTTGAATAAACATTCATTTCTTTTTAAAAAATACTGAAAATGGTAAATGTGTGCATGTAATTGTATATTTATCTATGTGGGGACTAGTTTGAGTTTTATACCATCAGAGTGTGGAGAGAGTAAAGTGGAGATTTTTTGGTTGGTCCTCACTTTGACACCACTTTTAAGGGCTGTTTGAGGGTTAAGGCCACATTTACACATATCTAGGTATTTTGAGAAACAAATACCCCCCCCCCCCATTTCAATAATAACATTGTGCACACAACATCATTTTCAAAAAAGTTGTCATTTACATAAACCAACTATACCTATGGATGGCAGTGTATAGGTAGAAAGTTAAAGCCATGCAAGCCAATCAGAATCCCTAGAATCAACAACAACAAATAACACAAGCAACTTCAGGTTCCTTTAAAAAAAAAAACAAACACAGCCCAAGGTTTGTTTGTGTGGACAGACAGCGAAGTTGAGTTACTCCTTAATGTCGCATTAGACTACAAGGCAAGTTTGCACAAAAGTAAATACAAGTACCACCTTGGATACCACCAGCATCCATGATCAGTAGCCAAACAAACTGTAAACATAGGACGCTCACATGGTTAAGCATTTTCTGGCGCATAATTTGACGTTCGAGAACCTAAAACCCCATTTCTCCCAGTTGAAACGGCAACACATAACCGGAGTAATCAGAAATCTCGGATATCTACTTACACGCTGGCACAGAACCCGTGTGCAAGTTGAAAGTCACCTGTAGTCCTTTTGGTGTCAAGGTGTGTTTTGGTAAATAACAGTTAGCTTTCGTGGCAGATCGTTCTTTGATGTCAGCTTGGTGTCTCCCTGGCTTTAGGTTAGGGTAAGGCACTGGATTATATCAGTGAATGTTCTCACAAAGATAAGCATACATGTGCAAGTAAGTGTAAAGCCATATATTTTTGACCAAATCAAAAAAGATGAAAAAGCAAAAATGTGAATTTTTCAAATAATTCATTGCTGGTAAACATTTTTATAAATCTGATATAAAAGTTATTAATTCATACTTCTGCAGTGATATTACTTTTCTAGGTGGGTGAACATCTGGTTTGGGTTACTGACCTAATTCATGAGACCTATAGTTAAACCAAAAGTTAAACAGTAACAGCCTTTATATTTGAAATGTGCTTTCCTTTGGTTTTACAAACTGAGAAATCATAATCTGTGGTTTATACTGTCGATGTGGAGTTCAATTTGCGGGAACAAGGATACAAATCAGAAGGACATTACATGTAGTCACGGCAATGCTGACGTTAACATTAACAATTTGAGAACAAAGTATAATTTGCATATGATAAGTGATTTTATATTTAATCAGCGTGATTTACTGCAATGTCAGAACCAAAACAAAAGTGGATGTTTCTTACTTGATCACCTTTCATTTTCCGGTGAAAATTCTTATGTTGGTCAGTTCCAAAAATAATAATCTGTGATTCTGAACGCCAGTATCCACACCGATGCGGTGACTGACAGCTGCACACCCTCCTCAAACACTGTGTTCATTCACGCTGTGCCATGTCGAGTCGAAGAACAACTCACATAAAGTAGATAGCTCCACGAATAACTGCAGATTTCAAACAGAGATGGCAACAAACAGGAAAAACTACAGACTGCAGCTTTAATTAAAGTACTACTTTTAACAGCTGCATAAAATGTTTTGTTTATGTTAGACTAAATCACTTTATTTTCACATGGACATCAGGGAAGCAATGTAGCTTGAATCAAAGGTGTAATTCTTGTATAAATGCTCGTCAAATAAGATGACAAGGCATACATTTATCCCCAGCTTTATCTTAGTGATGTTACAGCACAATCTAAAATACTATTCCCACTGGAAACGACAGACAAGTGCCTCATGACGGTAATGAGACGCCCACAAGATCATGTTTCACTGCAAAAACATGCATCATTCCCCTTCTGTCTCCCAATGCAGTTACAACTTAATAAGACCAAAGCACATCAAGTAACAAGAAAACTATCCAGATTTATCAGCATGGAATTATAAAAATCCATACATTAAGAACATGTGATGTGATTTAACAACATGTGTTGAGGTGTTATCTGATTGAAATGTCAAAGATAAAGCACCTAAGAAAATATGATCTAGCTCAAATGTAGTTTTACCTGCACTCCCAGAAGACTGCCATCGCACACAGGGGACCCGTCTGACCCTCCAGAGGGGCAACAATCCATCCAGCACCGTCCATCCCTGTCACACACATTGACATATGAGCACTGACCATGACCAAGACCATAATCTTGACCTCAAGGGTGAAGGTGTTGCCATCTCTGGGACAGCAGCCAAATTATGACATAAGTGCAAATGCACACAGCTTTCTTGTACCAACAAAGGGGCAGTGCTGTTTGTTGTTTTTTCAAAATAAAACCAATCTGCAATAGCGCCACCATGCTAAAAGCCTGAACTATAACGCATTTTCTGTCGCTTCGCGCAAATCCATATGACCGTTCACAATTATGTCACTTCAAATCCGGATTTTACGTAAATGAACAACGGGCGCCGCTCGTGCGACGAAGCTCGCGGAGCGGAAGAGAATGTAAAAGCCGCTCGGCTAACCAAGAGGGGAAAAAACATCTGACAGGACAAAAAAAAAAAACGAACCGTGGCGAGCTTTTAAAGAGGATGACACGTAGACTCGCGGTTAATGTTGGGGGACGATGCGGCCATCCGCAGTCAAACCTTCTGCAGATATTTAACCTGCGCGAAAAGTGCTCCGTCTTTGTTTCTATCTCGCGAGCGATCATAAAAATTCCGTCATTTTATCAAAGTGTGCAGTTATCAAGGCAGACATCATTTAGGAAGATATTTTGAAGTTATTTTTTCAGGCTGATGTGACATAGCTAATGATGTTAGGAATATGCTGACGCTCGCCTGCCAAGTTCAGTTTGACTCCCTCATTCAGCAACCCTTTATGTTATTAAAAATACATTAATCGATCAATCCACTTTAAACGGGAAGCAGGCATAAAGTCAAGACTTACCAGCTCTAGTTCCAGAGATAAACACGGGTCTGTCCTGTATTTGCCACATTTCACTGTTTCAGACGGCATAACTGTGTAACGCATCAAGGTGGTGTTTGGCAAACAAACGGCACAGTCGTCAGACATACTGTCTCTCTCTCTCTCTCTCTCGCCTTTGCCTTCCGCTCGACACGGCGATTAGACAGTCTCCTCGGTTAAACGAAGACAACGCAACCCCGTTAAGCGATCCGACAGGGAAATGAAGGAGTTATTTGCGTCAGATTAAGGCTGTAAGCAGACCCCGGGGAGAGTCCGAGACTGCCACAGGGTTAACAACTTTGCAATGGCAGCGAGACGCCGCCTGATTGGTCAGTGAGTGGCACCAATCACCTGTGGGAAGCTTCAGGCATATGATCTAAGTGGCAACATGAAGAGATGGTTTGGCAGAACTAATTACTGCAAAAATACACTTAAAACCTAAATTTTTGACAAGGTTTCGGTATTAAATAATACTTTAAATACAACATAGTTTGTGTTAGCTTGTTAGGTTATATGAACTTGACAAGATTATCAATACAAACACAACAACAAGCAAAAATAACTCTGTGTTGTTTTACTTTTTAAGTTTTCAATGTATAGTCTGTTTGGGGGTAAATCTGAGTCAAACTTGAATAACCATATGGCCTTTAAACATTTTGTCATTAGTTTTGTGGCATTTAGTCTATGTTTGCTTTACTGCAGTATATGCGATGTAAGGACCTGTTCACACTAACTATGAGAACACGTCCATGGCAGTGTTACAGCGTATCATACATTTCTGTTTATTATAAGCATGTTGCGGTAAAGTCGATTAGTGATTTAATGCGATTGTTAAAACTTTATAGTTATAATCATAATTGTCATCCTTGGTGTGAACAGCCCTATACACTGACAAAATGCACTTTTAACAGATATATGCATTCACACTTTTCCATCTTTCTCTTGGGAAGGATGACTCATCCTGGACTACACAGATTTTTGTCCAATCAGTTGCTTTCTAGAATGAGAATGCCCCTCCCCCAAATACAACCAGCCACTGATTAGCATGCATAGAGAAAAATAAATCAACCACACAAGTCAAGAGTGTATTTAGTAAAATCCAACACTGTTTTATTGGCTTTATAGAAAGTATTTCAGAATAAGAAGTCATGTTGTAAAAAAAAACAAAAAAAAAACAAGCAATAGAAAACTAGCTTATAAATCAGTTCTCACCTGGTAGGTTATGGCCCAAAAAATGCATTTGATTGAGAAGTGGAAAGAAGGAAAAAACAACCCTAAATGCAAAATGCAAAATAAATAAATGTATCAAATATTAAAAAGGAAAAATAACATTTATTGTTGGCATCTGAGTGTGTATTCTGGTCCAATGATCCAGAAGCCGATACCAGTTGAGAACCTCTGCTTTAAGCCATAGAGAAGATCCATCATTTGCCCTCATATTTGGGGTTCACCACAGTTGTCACAGCACTCTTGTAGATGGGGTTCTCACCCTAAACCGAACAGAAAGACCATTCATACATACATCAGTGTTATCCCAATATTCTTCCCATAGCCGATGCAGCATGAACCCAACAAAATTAATTTATTGCAATATTATAAAATGAATATTAATAAAGATTTTCATACCGTGTCCCATCTGGCATTCATCTTCTCTTTCTCGAACTTGGCGAACTCTCTGCGGTCGTGAATAATCATGAGCAGCTTCCAGATGAGCAGAAGTGCTAAACCAATCAGAACGATTCCTGCGACCACACCCGCCACGATGGGGATGATGTCAGGGCCAGAGGGACACTCTGTCAACACAGACACAAAGCATTATGGGGCACAAGGTAGTAATGAAACTTAGTAATCAATAACTACGAATTAAGAAATTAAGCCAACATGAAATGGAAGTTAGATAGTCTTTTCTTGTTTATTATGACATATCTGAGTGAAATGACTTTATCTGAATAAATAGTGCAGGATTTGATTTTGTCTATCAGGAATTGATTGAATTGATGATTACAAGTTAAAACAAATGGGTAAACCAATTATAAACACTGCAGTATTCTGTAAAAATAAGGATAGTCAATTTTGATTTCAAAGATGCTCTAAGCGATGTTGGGTGACGTCACTTCTGGTTCGAAGTATTATCAATCAAAACAGGCTAGCATGACCCTCTCTCCTTCTCATCCTGTCCCCCCTGTAGTTTTACGGATACTTCATTCAAGGTGTATGTCACCAAGTTAGATAAATGCTTTCATATAATGCAGAACAGAATGCAAGAAAAGATAAACATTACCAGAAACACACAATAAAACGTTTCGCCACCTGAGGTTATAACTTTAGCTCCCACACAAGGACGCAATGATGGCAAGATAACGCTAGCTTTGCGTTTCCCAATGAGAATAAACAACGGCTCCTTCGTAAACAAATTTAGTCAAAGTTGTCAATAGGCTATAAATGAACATTCAAATTCATAACAAACGGTGGTTGAAAAACATTCATCACCCTACAGTGAGTTTGCTTGATCATTTACAAAGTTAGCGCTGACTGCATAGTTTTAGCTAATTATCCGTGTGTGTGTTAGGCGAACATGAATGTCCATTTAGAAAAACCAAACTGGATTTACCCACCAGTCCAGCAAAAACAGAGCTACCTGAATTGGAAGCCCTTCTGCCGGCGGAGTTCGAAGGCTTTTCTGATGTAAATTCTGGGCCTCGCGCGCTCATTCTCCTTTTTCCTCTTCTTAGCATTTTTGTAATCTGTTCATCGTAACGTTGTCTCTTTGGTCGTGTTTCGCCATATCAAACTTACAGAGAATATAATTTTAACTTCCCTCTTCATGCTTCTCTCTCCTCCACACCCCCCTTCATGTGCACGCGCACTAACCCCCCAAACCCCACCACCAAATCCTTGTTGTCGGTTATTGGCTGGAACATGTTTAGTGGTGCGGGTTGCCCCAGTTTTTGTTGCCGTTTTTGGAGCCTGGGTTGTCTACAGAGGCCGCGTTCAGGGGACAGGCGTGACATTGCTTAGAGCACCTTAAACCACTACAATAATCCATAAGAAATAAGAATTGTCCATTTTGATATCATGGGGACATTAAATAATAAAATCAATCAGTGGACACTCATTTAATAATTTTTTTTTCTTCCAAATATTTCATGCTGGTACTTGGCAACATTTGTCCATCATTTACCTTTTTTTTCAGCCACTTGAACCTCAATCTTGTCATTGTCATCCTTATTGGTAGTGTAGGTGAAGTAGAACCAGCAGTCATCAACGTCCCGCTCTTTGCAGAGATCGATGTTGGTCTGGTCGTCGGACCGAGGAAGTTCATCCTTGCTGTTCACTACTTTAAGAGGTGTGAAGTTTTTGCATTCTTTCTCACATGTATGTTTCTTGATACCCATACCAAACTGTAGGCACTCAACACAATCCCTTGGAGAAAAGTACACAGGAATTTATTTAGTTCTGCTAGCTGAGATTAAATCTGTTTTAGAGTTTTTGTATTATAATACCAAGAATATCAAAATCGACTGCTAGTGGTACATCCTATTCCTATTTAGCACCAAAACATTGGAACAGTCTTCCTAACATTGTCACTCTGTCAGTTCAAAGCTAGACTAAAAACACATCTCTTTGGCCTAGCATACACATAACACACTAAAGACTTCTATAATTCAACGTTAGGCTGCATAGATTAGGTCAGCCGGAACCGGGAACACTTCCCATAAATTCTGATGTACCCGTTACATCATAAGAAGAATGGCATCTACGCTAATATTAGTATTAGTTTACCACAGTCTGCCGGATCTAGGGCATATCGCAGTCCTGAAGTGACTCCCTGTGAAGGCGAAGGCCTCCTTCCCTTTACCTCTGTACAGATAATCGATGTCGGGATAATTCCGGTTCACATGGCTACGCCGAAGCAATAAAATTCTGAATTATAAATTTTAAGGCCAGACAAGTAGTTTAAAGAGGGTGTTTTTTTAGAGATGGACTACACAAACACTCTTAAAACGCATGTGCATGCCATCAGCGTTCTCACAGGTTCACGTTTTTAAAGTTTGCATAGACAGAACTTAAGAGTTTTCTGTTAAAACAGTGTCGTGTCAGCGGCCCTTAAGTTATTAACTAATGATCGTTGCGACGGAAGTGAATCAATCAAATCTAACTTTAGCTGGATAACTTTATTCTAGAGCTGCTTTAAAGCCAAAACAATCTCTGTTCCTTTAATTTCCTATTATCACTGTAAAGACGCTTTGGAACAATCTACATTGTTAAAAGCGCTACATAAATGAAGGTGACCTGACTACAAGCAAGTAGTTCAACCCATGGGGTTAGCTATGTTACCTTAACCTCATTAGATAGCGTTCTGCCAATTACTCACTTGTGTTCACTGCAAATTCTGGGGCAGGTTGGGCAGATTTCACAGGTCGGACCCTCAAACTTTGGGTCTGTACATTTACACTTGCCACACTCGCAGGTGCCCCGACCATTACAGATCCGTTTGTTACTGGCCAGACAGGTGGAGGTGTCCAGAGGGCAGTCGCACGCACTACCGGTGTAGTCAGGCTCACAAATACACCTTCGGCATTCACATCGTCCATGACCTGTGGGGAAAAGAATGCCATGGTGATAAATCCGTCTTAACAGTGCAATAGCATTATTGTATTGTTTTCCAGTACAAATAAATTAAACAAAATAAATACATTTCTAATTTCAAAGACTTACAAAGTATTGTTTTCTGAAAAATATATCAAAATTAAGTTAGTTTAAAATAAGAAAAATAATCGTGTTATTCCTGTGAATTTATATAAATCTCAATCATCATTTTGCATCCAGTTAATGTATCTTGGTATAAGAATTAATAGATATTTATATCTTACAACACAAGAATACTGAATAAGAAAATACTAGAAAAATAAATACATTTTCTAATAAATTAATTGTCTAATTAAATGCAGTGTATTTTGTAAATGAAATGGGATGTTGATTTTAACTGTTATATATTTTTAATTTAGGAGAAGTGAACATTAAACATTAACATTTGTATAAATATAAATAACGTAAGGTATGTTGTGGAAATTTTAAATCTTACATTGACTGATAGAGAAGATTACTAGGTAGTTTGAGCCAGGGCTGGACTGGGACAAAAAAAAAAAAAAAAATCGGCCCGGACATTTTGGCCCAGACTTGCCCACTACATGATCATAAACACAACCGAACTTTGCATGATCTTGAATATGTATACCAACACCTTACAACCATGTAATAACGGAATCAGGATTTTTGGAAATATATGGTGAGTGCACCGCTGTCCCCCTAGGGGGGTTAGGGGGCATGCTCCCCGTAAGAAAATGTTGTGCTTTTTAATGTTAAATTCATCAAACTGGTGCACTTTGAGAGTTAAAAATAAAGAGCTTCAACCCATATTCAGTGTGCAAATTGAACAAAGAAAAACTCAAAACTCTTTTAGTTGTGATAAGCCTAGTCTGTCTACATTATTATATAGTTATAATATTAATCCCATATGGCAGTAATAGCCATATGTTGTAAAAAAAAAAAAAACGCACTGAAAAATAAAAGCAACTTTCATAATTAGTTTCGTACTCATTTCTATACTTGAAAGAGATAAACACATGATCTTTTATTTTGACGGAAACGGCATCGAGCTTTTATTTTGGTGGAATACATGGTTTACAAACTCGTCTCATTAATTCTAATTAAATACGTAATCCTCAAATATGCAGATGTGGAAACAATGCGTAACTGGGAAGTGGGTTAGCCTAAGTGTTCTGAAAGTAGCCTAGTTCTGCTTACCACAATTCTCTACACACACTTATTTCTCTCCTGATCCTCCTCACTATCCTCATCAGCCACTTGAAGGGCCTTTTAAGTTGAACTTTTTTTTTTCACGCTATTTCTCTGCACATTCCTTGCATTTCTTCTCCATCGCTTTGACTATTTTGACAGATGACACTACTCGCTTACTCAAAGCTATTTAAAGATGTGATTGGACCAGCCCAGTGTCAATCAAGAAAATAACCAATGGGCCACTGATCTACGCGTCTCATGATGCGCCGGTCTGTGAGGAAAACAAGATTTTTTTGTCCAATGCATTACACCAGCACCCAGATACTAGAGCTGCCGATTCAACAAAACTAAACGCAATGGGCCACCGATGTATGAGTTTTATGGGCTGTTCAGAAAAAAAAAAAATGAAAGTAAGAGATGTATTGGCCCATAAAGCATGCACGTCGGGCCACCGGGAAAATGCCCGGATTGCCCGATGGCCAGTCCAGCCCTGGTTTGAGCAATGTGTTTCTATTGAACCTATTCAATGAGTAAAAATATACATGTACGTGCTTGAGGTTTCAGGAACATAATTTGGGACAGTGAGTGTAGGGATGGCCAGTTTTTGGCCAGTTTATTTCAGTACAAGTTTGTGTCTTTATGTAGAGACTGAACAGAAGTAAGGACCTTATCTGGGTGGGTGAAAGGAGCAGCGGGTGAAGAGGAACCTTAAAAATAGTATAGACCATTTCACAAGATGTAAACAACACTGGTCCAGAAACACTTCCTGTTTCAGTTCGTAACTGTTTTCTTTATTTCACATGTAAAGAAAACATCTGAAAGATTTTTGTTTAACTTTTTGATTCAGTTTTAAATGTTCTGTTGGTTGTATTTTATCCCAGCTTTTATGTAGTGTTAAAAAACTGAAACAGGAAGTGCTTCTGGACCAGCGTTGTTTACATCTTGTGAAATGGTCTATAAAAGCTGTCTCAAATCTTCCTGTTGTGTGTCACTCTCATGCACAGCGTAACTTCTCTGTGTGTCAGATTGAACCTATTCTTGCAAGGATAAATCATTTAAGACCTTTTGCCTCAGAATGTCTCTTACAGAGTGATATTGGTTGGTTAATGAATTTTTGCCACAACAGGTAAGAATGGAAAAATCCTCAAAGAGACATACCTCCACAGAGCTTGTTGTTGGATCGGTCGCAGCTGAAGTTGTCGCACTCGCAGAACCTTCCGCTGTATCTCTCCTCTGGGTTGTCCCTTTTCTTACACTCGCACGTTCCACAGACACATTCTCCATTGTTGCTGCAGACCTCTGTCCCATTATCTACGCGACAATTTGCATCCAAATCGTCTTTTTGGACCTCATCTTCGCTGCACTCGCATAATCTGCCTAATCGACCATCATTACACCTGATATGAGAAAGAAAACATCGAATCAGAATGATTGTCATACTTAGTTGTCTGAATTTGCATATGAGAGAGAGTGACAGCTTCTCAAACCTGCATACTCCACACTCCAGGGCACCGAAGCCCAAACACGATGGGCTGTTTGGGATTCCGTCTTTGTGACACTCACATTCACATATGAAGTTGAGGACAACCTCCACCTCCTCGTTGGAGCCCAACGGTTTGATCGTTATCGTCTTTGACTTTCCATTAGATGGACAACCTTTAGCCGTGATTTCTATATCAAATTTCACCTATGAGGCACAACACATTGTTTTATGTTCCAGGTGGCATTTCATTTATGGAAATGGAAATAGACAGCAGGGTGTACAGGGAAACAAATTATTTTATTTGAGACACTTTCTTAACGATGCTATGGTCTTGTGCAAATTAAAAGACATAATCTCTTTGTGTAAATTTAAAAAATTCACTAAAAAGTTGTGCCCTGTAATTTAATTTTATAAAGTAAAACCTGTTAATTGGTTAATTGCAAGTTACCTTACTATATATGGTGAAAAATTGTAAATGGTTTAACATCACATAATGTGAATTTACAGTAAAATAGAGACAAATTTATGGGGTTTTTTTGCAAGTAAAAACTATGAATCACCATATAATTTACAGTGAAAAACAGTTGAAGGACATTTCCAGAAGTCACTTCATGGCATCACATATCATTATATTTATGTTTTAAACCCTAAATTAGGGTTTTTATAGAAATTAAAATTTAATTTATTTATTTTTAAATAAACTAAATTAAATTAAAAATGTAAAATTAAAACACAGTTTATTTATTTTATTGTAGTAATTTAAAGTTTATTTATTTTAAATTTTGGAGAAATTAAAAATAAATAAATAAACATATAAAGAAATAGATAACTGACTTGATAAAACAAATATAATTCATTTGAATTTAATTGTTTAATTAATATTAATATTTTTACATTTATATTTTATAACTTATTTATGCCTTCATTTATTTTTATATTTTAATCATTGCCCCATTAAATATATATATATATATATATATATATATATAATTTATCTTTACTTTTCCATGTGCAACATGGAAATGAATAAGGCGGTCCTTGCGAAGCTCCAGTTTATGATAGGTTGAGAGAAGTGTGAGATAACTAAGCAATAAATATCGGAGCTTGTCAGAGAAAGTCAGGTTGGCGATATTTGAAATAAGAAAAAAATCATCCTAGCATCTGCAGCTACTCAGCCTCAATTGGAACATGCCTTAGACGTATGTAGACTAGGAGAGCACTGGGAATGAGCTAGAAGTTTGCTGTCAAAGAGTGAAGACCTTCTGTCTTGAGCTACAGTTAGCACAGATAGTTCCTTTACATGCACGGACAAGTTCAGATGGCTTTTCTTGCGTTCACTCTCTCACCTCATCCCCAATGGAGATGTTGGTGCATGTTCGGCCACTTTCTCCTGTTCTGCTCACTCCATCCTTGCAGTGGGAGACGTAGGAGATGGACACACCATCAGGTAGATTGCTGTTCTCCAGAATGACCTCTTCGGACAAAGACTGAATCAAACACAGAGAGTATATTATATCATTCAAATCCTACATAGTTGACATTAGTTGACACTCTTGACATTTGTTTACTCTGCCTCATCATCTTTCTAAACCTGCATGAATGTCTTCTGTGGGATACAAAAGAAGACATTTTGAAATTCAATATTTCAAAAATATCTACTTTTGGTTTTCACAGAACGTCATAAGAGGCTGAGTAAATAATTAAAGCTTTCTTTTTTTGGGTGAACTACACTACAACTAATTATTTTTTTCACACTTCAAGAACTGTATGTGAAAAATAACAGCAGTTTTAGTTTCTTTCGTAAAAGGAACTAGAGCTGACCACAGCCAACCATTACTTCACACTTGATAGACATGTGATGCATAACTTGAACTTACATTATAGGAATCAATGATGAGCTGGATGACATTGGTAGAGGAGGTAGACAGTGTCCCCACTGTTGATTTAGGGATTAGAGCAGAGAGCTCCTATTGGGCACACACATATACAACATGAATCAACACAGACTACAATCAGAGTTAAAACTAAAGCTTGTATTATGAGATGATGTTGCAATCAGGAGAAGATATAATACGTTGTAAGGGAAATTTTAAACTGAATATTAATCTAACCATGGTTTATCAGTTGACCTCATTTATCTGCTAAATCTCTAAGACAATGTACTAAGACATTTTGTACTTTAGATAAATGTGTGTGTGTGTGTGTGTGTGTGTCAAACGCCTGATTGTGTATACACTCCAAAAAATGCTGGGTTGTTTTAACCCAATTTTGGGTCAAATATAGACAAACCCAGCCATTGGGTTACATTTTTAAATTACATTTTTAACCCAATGTTTGAGTTTGTCCATATTTGACCCAAAATTGGGATAAAAACAAACCAGCATTTTTAGAGTGTATAAATAACAAATATGAGAAATGGAACCAGACAGATGACTAAGTTAGAACTTGTCATCAATGAAGTAATCATTTAAACAAAGTCTCCTCTACCCAGTAACAAGAGGCAGTAAATGAAGAACTAATCATATTATCTTTTCTTTTTGATCTATCTTTTCTTTTATATATATATATATATATATATATTGTATTGCTTGTGAGTTTTTCAAACATAGATGTGCTCTTATTTCATATAGATGTGAATTCTTTCAAACATAGAGTGTGTTAAAGACACTGCAAGATGCATTTCCTCAGTCTGTACTTTGTTCAAAATAGATACGCTTGCTTGCATCCGAGCAGACACATGTTTAATTCAGGAAGATGATGTCTTTAAGAAATGACATATGTGTTTGCTGAGGAGATTCATTGATAAAAGGTGTTAAAATAAGGAGAACTGAAACTGTGTACTTGCAGGAGCCTAAGTAAGAAGAGAAGGGGGTACATTTTGGAGGGTGATATTTTGTATATAAACTCTGTAAAGTGAGAAGACTTTTGCCCTTCTCATATCAGACTCTATCTGTGTGGGAACTGCCTTTCTTGCAAGAAATAAAATGCATACTTTCGAGATCATTGTTCTTGAATTATTATTTAAGATCTAGGTACAAAATTTCCACGACAACGTGCATGCACACACCTGATAAAGAGCCCGGAATTGTTCTGTCACAGCAAAGATGGTCTGAATGTTGTTGTCATTCAGTGTGTCTACCAGCTGAGAGATGGTGGGGTAGTCCTGCAACAAATAACTGAAATGAAAGACATGCTCTGACATTTCCAGTTGTCTGTCTATTTGTAAAACTCACACTTACAAAGTAGTTGCTCATGGTGTACATATTATTGGAAAGATGGCATTTCCCATCATTTGGACGAACAATGCCACCCAGTTTTCCATCTCCAGCTAAATGGAATCCAGCATCCGTGGAAAACACGAGGAGACGAGTGACATTCCTCCAGCCAATCTCTTTCTGAGGAACAATCAAAATAAAGCAGACAGAACACCGCTTCAAATGGTCGTGTTTTGTCCAAACTTGTTCAGTAGCTAAAGCATGCTGCTCCCCATGACTCAATAAGAATGATTAATGACAATATGTTTCTTGTTTTTACAAAGGCTCAATCACATGTTGACTACATGTTTAGTGTTGGAAAATTAAATCAGAACCCTCTGGCTACAGTCAGAACCAGTATATAAAGATGGTGATGAAGTTATTTCGTACATACATTATCTGAAAATTTGTATTCAAATACAGGATTTCTAAACTGGAAGCATTTACCATTTGAAAAAAAAAATATTTAATTGGAACAGAAAGAAAGTAGTTGTGCATGCAGCCATTCACAGGGCACACACAACACTGCATGTGCTAACATGTGCTGGAGACTTTGCCCATAGTTCAGTAACATTCAGGGAATGTTGAACTCGACCCACCGTGCAGACAGCAGCTTGCATGATTGCATCAAATCCTGCCTCCGGAGAGTCCAGGTTTCCAGAGGTTTTCTGTTTGCTGACTTCTTGGGTGAACAATGTGCTGTCGTTGGTCAAACTCAGGACGTTTTTGTAGCTGAAGGGTGCAGTGCAGTCGTTTGGAAAACACGGGTTCTGCAGATACTTTGGCGTCATCAGAATGAAAGGCATAGCAAGCTTCTCCAAGAATGAACCAAAACCTGCAAGCAAGAGTTTATTAGCAGATCATTTAACAGTTTTAATCCCGCAAAGGCGTGAGCATGTGAGCATGTGTGTCCTCCTAACCGATCCGCAGGTCTTTAGTGATGTACCGCATCTCCCTGGCAAGGTCAGCTCCCAGATTCTTGACATTCTCAAGATTAATTCGCATAGAGTCACTGAGGTCCATCAGGAAGTACAGATCGATGGGATGATCCTCTACCCTCTTGAACGTGAGAGTAAACTTCTGCGGTTCATCTGTAGAGGGACAAAGACGAGAGAGAAAAAATCATATCTATGTTTCTCACAGTCACATGAAAAAATGTTTTACTTTCTTTCTATGCTATGCAATGATGAGTGCTATGAACAAGTAAACTGAGAATCCTATGTTTACTTAAAGGGATACTCCACTTTTTTTGGAAATGGGCTCATTTTACCATTCCCCAGAGTTAAACTGTTGAGTTTTACTGTTTACAAATCCATTCAGCCGATTTTCTGATATTTAGAAGAATATCAGTAATAACAGTGGGAAAAAATATACTATGGAAGTCAATGAGAACAGAAAGTGTCTGGTTATTCAACGCATTCTCACCCCAAGGCGTCACCTTTGACCATGCTTCAATATTTGACGTTTTAGGCGCCCTTTAGCGTCACTTACATGACGCGATCCTACAGCGTCATCTAACTGACGCTAAAGGAAAGCGTCAGTTAGAGGACGCGGTTAGGTTAAGGTGTGGGGTGGGGGTAGGGTACACGCGATCCTAGGGCGTCATCTAACTGACGCTAAAGGGCGCCTAAAGCGTCAGATATTGAAGCATGTCCAAATGCTTCCCAAGGCGTCAGTTAAGTGACGCCTTGGGGGTGAATATGGGCTGGGTTATTGATATTCTTCTAAATATCAGAAAATCGGCTGAATGGATTTGAAAATGGTAAAACCCAACAGTTTAACTCTGGGGAGTGGTAAAATAAGCCTATTTCCAAAAAAAAAAAAAAAAAGTGGAGTATCCCTTTAATTAATAAAAGATTTGTTAAAGAGATACTCCACTTTTTTTGGAAATAGGCTCATTTTACAACTCCCCCAGAGTTAAACAGTTGAGTTTGACCTTTTTTGAATCCATTCAGCCGATTTTCGGATATTTAGAAGAATATCAGTAACCAGACACTTTCTGGTCTCATTTACTTCCATCGTATATTTTTTTCTACTATGGAAGTCAATGAGACCAGAAACTGTTTTCTAAATATCCGAAAATCAGCTGAATACATTTGAAAACTGTAAACCCAAATGTTTAACTCTGGGGGAGTTGCAAAATGAGCCTATTTCCAAAAAAAGTGGAGTATCCCTTTAACGGTACTGGTATTTGGTGCTGGTGGAAATGAAAAAAAAAATCATCAGATCACCAGGTTTATTCTTATCTTAATGGGAAAATCGTATTAAAACCTAAATGATATTTTGCTATTCAATGATCGTAAAAGGGAGTTCATATCTAATTTTTAACAATTACGATAATTCAGATAGCACACGAGTGTGTCTTTTACAACGCAGAGGTAGGCTAAATGTAAATTTGATTGAACTTGTCCTCCTGATTCATATTTCACAACACATCCATTTGGTTCACAGGTGGGGTACAGTACCTGATCTGAGGTTCAGGGTGAATTTCTGTGGCTGAATCTGGGTGATATCTTCAGGCCTCAGATTCTCTCCTCCCTCCATTTTACGGTTTGTGACAGCTTTGTTCTTGTCGATGGTGACCGTTCCTCGAGGGTTTTCTATGCCGAGTGGAGAGCAACCAGCCTTTTGCAAAGACTCCTTTTCATCACAGCGTGAAGGTTTGAAATCCTGCAAGCAGAGACTTGCTAAATTCACATGTTCCGGTAAGACTCGGATAATCTTCCAGAGTCAGACGAGAATTTGACAATCAAATGTTGTAGACAAAATAACTTACAGGATCTTTGCACCACACACACTGTGGCCCGGTCTGAATACACTCTCCACATGTTTTGGCATCTACAGAAATGCATATATTGCTGTCTGAGAGCAAAACACATTCACAACAACTTTAGAAGACAAGATCTAACATTATAATGTTATGTGAGATTATTAAATAATAGTTTTCCAGCAACTAAAGCATTATGAAAAGAAAAGCTACAAGAAGCTCTTTCGAAGAGTAACTTGAGAAAATAGCCTCAAAATTACTATGAGATTTTGAACTCATAAACCTAAATATTAAAAGAATGTCCCCTGAGGCTTCAGAAAGTAGCTGTGTTGTTGGCGAAAAATGATTTCCTTACCTGTTTTTGCTCTGACGTAAGAGACAAATCCTAGTAGAGCTGATATTAACAGCACCCTCATATCCATCTAAATGCAGAAGAACTTTATAAATGACACAGAAACACATCAGGAAGAGAGAGTTAGAGTAATCACTTAGGCTTACAAATACACAAAATCCTTGTCCGACACTCTTTGGCAAACTGTACTACCAAAAAGTTGTTTTTTGTAAAACAAAAGGACTGGCAGACAGGAGTGTCTCTGACTCAGAACAATGAAAGAGACAGTTAATCATTGACTTTGATAACTAAGATATTTATTGAGAAAGAAAAAGCAGCCCCAAGAAACAGGCTTGTCTGTTAATCTGAGTAATATCAAAGTTCCTTTTAGACTATTGTTATCCACAAATTCATATACATTTATATAAAATATAAACATGTAAATACACTAAATGATTGATCCTTTACATTGCAGTAGTTTATGGATTTGCTCGAACAATTTTGATCAGACAAACATAGTCTAAAACAATGTTTACATGCATATTTTGTGACTAGTAAAATGTCATGAGATTTTTTATGGGTATTTTATAATAAGTAGAAAAATAAAAGCTTACTTACCTTAAAGCATGCTCCTGGCTCTTTCAAGAGATTTGTGTTTATGACGTAAATATTTATATGATCAATTTTTCCTGATGTCTTGAGTTACACTCCAGGTTACTGTAGTCCTGTAAGCATTTGAAGAATGTGTTTCTGAAACGGCACACAAGACAAAATCTAAACGCTTTGTACTTGAGTGTGTGCGTGTGTGTGTGAGAGGTGTGTGTGAGGCGTGTGAACAGGTCTTTTTCAGTAGTCCAGACTGCAAAAATGTTGCAGCAGATCAGTCTTACACCTTACAAACAGGAAATAAAAACTGAAGGGTTGTGTAGTTTGGCCAGGACATGTAAAGAGTGAGGCTCCTCCTACAGAACAGACTCACATTACAAAAAAAGATTTGACTCGCATCAAACTAATTTTAACAATATAATAACATGTACATATAATTTAAAGGGCACCTATTATGCAAAATTCACTTTTACATGGTGTTTGAACATAAATGTGTGTTGGCACTGTGTGTATGATAAAAATGTCTCCAGAACAACCCGTTCTCAGATTTTCTGTATTTAAATTAAAATTTTCCATTACATTTGTGTAACGTTGGTGCAAAATTAAAATTATAATACAATTATATAATTTACATTTGACATTTCATACAATAGTTTGAAATATGTGAACTGAATATGCATATGTTTTACAATTAAAATGAAAATGTATTACAGAAATGATCCGAGACCACGTCCTCGCCCACTCCCCCTCCTACCCTGTCAATCACTAAGTGAAGTTGGCCCCGCCCCCAACTTCACGCAGCTCATTTGCATTTAAAGAGATACACACTAAAACATTGTTTTTCTCAGTTGTTGTTGTTGGGTATTATGTTGGGTATTTTGAGCTAAAACGTCACATAAACAATCTGGGGACATCATCAAAGACTTATTTCACATCTTGTGAAAAGGGTATCACAAATATTTAATCAAAACATGGTTATTATCACAGATCTTTTTTGAGATGGTCCTCACTGCAGAACACAAAATTATATACCTAAACCTATCCATCTCAGCCCCCTGATCCCTAACCCTACCTATCTCCACCCCTTAGATCTGGATCCAACTCCACCCCCTGGATCTCATGTCCTGCGATGAGCTGCTAGTGCTACTGTTGTTTTTTTTAGCATTTAATATAGGCTTTGCATAGTTGTTTGCTGAATATTGCAACCTTTAACTCCTATACTTCTATAAAATCACACAAAATGCAGTTTATTCTGTGACAGCAAAACAATCAGATATGTAGCAATGACATGAGAGAACCCTCAAACACCATTAGTTGTGCAATAAAGATCATTAGGAAAGTAACACATTGGCAGTGTTTGTTCATGCTCTTTCCCTTCCCATTCATTCATTCAACTTGATCCTGATGAATATGGCTTTCCTGCATGCATGGTTGTTTAAGAAATGAAAAGCTACATACTCCATCAATCAGTGTTAGGAGTGTTGTTGCCAAATATAACATGCCAGAAACATAGTAATCCCTGTAGTAATGCTCCAGTCATAGGCTCTTAAGAATTAGCTTATTTAAATCCTTTTTTTTTTGGGAAGGCAGTGTATAAAGACTTTACATTCCATTATAAACCATGCTGATCCACAAACACACACGATAACAATGCAGTCCAGTGTTTTAGGTTCTTTATTTTAATAAATAACTCCTAGACACAAAAAACAGAGGGCATGATGCAAAAAAAAGAGGCACTTTAAAATGCAAATTGTGTGTTTAACGTGATTAAGCTTTTAAAAGCTTTAAAGGTTTAAAAAAAGAAAAGAAAAAAACGTAATCTTTAGTATAACACTGATCTTTACAAACAATGATTTGAGCAGTTAGGCTTATTTATGAACAATGATGTTGTTAAAAAAGGACAAATTAAATTACAAAAGCAGATGTGAAGCAAGTCCACTTAAACAGAAACAATAAAATATATTTCTTGCACAGTAGACGTAAATATTTGGCATCAGTGAAAGAAATTCGGGACCTGAGATTTAATTTCCTCATTCTTGAAAACAAATCTAAAACCTGAAGATGTTTTTTTTATATAACCTTACACTTATGTTTTCAATAATATTAATAGTAAAGTTGATTGTTCCACTCACAGACAAAGTAGAAAATGACCCTCTATCTTTCAAACTCAATCCAAGTCAAAGGCATTTAAATCAAACACTTGACTGATGAAATGTCAATTATATTGTGACAATTAAAAAGATACTAATGTGGATTCATTAATGTGCACAATAAAAAGGTCATTAATCCACCTGATTGCCAGACCAAAGAAAGGCAACTGAGCACACAAATCCATAGTCACATATAGACCTAAACATTATTGACTGGACTCAAATTTCCCAGAATTATGCAGACGACATGCGTCTACATTAAAAGCACCATGTGTACAAACAGCAGTGGTCCGCTACAGCTACCTACTATTACCAGTGACAGGACACTCCATCCACAGGTTCAGAAAGTTCCCTGTACCAACATAAGACACAAACAGACTCCAATGTTCAACTAGTTACTGAACTGAAGCAGACGGGTCTGGTAATTGTGTCTCGTCTTTGTGAATAACATTCTTAATGCATATTTGACCACATCTCACTTACAAAACCCCTGTCATCTAACCCAACACGACTGGTTTTAACATCCAGCAAAAACAAGGCAGACCTGTGGCTAAAAATAAAAAATAAAACAAATGATGAAAATTTAAATGGTCTAAGATTGCATAAAAAAAGTTTATACATACTGTACAGTTCCAAAACGATGCATAGAAACACAGGTTAATTGATTATACTGAACAGTGGCAAATGCACAGCCAAAGGGTGATTTAAAAACAAACACAAAAAAGAGAAAGAAAATAAAGTAAAATTCAACTCTTCCGTTCCTCTTGAATTGTTCTGCGTACAGTGTTGCTTGGAGTTGGACAGATTCGTCCATTACTTGCCCTCATATTTAGGGTTGACCACCGTCGTCACAGCACTCTTGTAAATGGGGTTCTCACCCTGAAGACCAACATAGAGAGACGATAATTAGACCAACCACGAATATATCTACACAACTGCCAGTTTAGGACACAGCAATATAGTAAACTTTGGTTGAAAACAAAAACAAAAAAAGTGTACATAATAACACCAACAAGCATTACAAAAGTCACACAATCAAACACAAACACTATACTTGAAGTAATTTTGTATATATGCAGCAATGTAAAAACTTTGTTTAGTATTGGACATTTTTTGTATTATGCTCTTTGAAGGAATAGTTCAGCCAAAAATGAAAATCTACTCATCCTCAGAAATACAACAGAATCTACAAGTAATCCACATGACTCCAGTCCATCAATTCATGTCTTGTGAACTGAAAAGCTACGCTTTTGTAAGAAACAAATCCTTCATTAAAGAGGAATTCCACTGTTGGCAAAATGGGGTTTCAATAAAACACGGCTGCTGCCTATACAGTGGAAAGGCAGAGAATTGAGAACAGTGTAACCAGAAAAAGGCTGTAGTCTTCCCTTATGCCAAATATGCAGGAAACCTTCAACACCCATAATACACTTGGCATGTTGCCATTCAAGGCCACTCACAAGTAACCAGTTACTTTTAGGTGAACAAGACCATTTGTCTCGGTCTCTGGTATCAGGAGAAAGGTTTATGGATCCTAATGGCGTCGTGAACACATATGTCCAACCAACACATATGATACTTCTCTGTACAGATGGTCAAGCTATATTGAACTTTAATTGTTGTATTAAAATGTATTCTTTCTATTATATTTCCTTTCTGGGGAGAAAATGTTGTCTGTTTTTCTCCCAAACGAGTGAATGTTTTACCATTATGTTTTGGTACACTTAACTGATAATAAGCAGCTCAGACTCTCTTCAGCCTTGATGGGAGCTCTCCTATTTGCTAGTGTCCTATGTGAATGCTGTAAAGGTGAAAATAATAGGGAAATAGGGATTTGGACCTTGGGAACGGTATAACTGCTGTGATCTCTGTAACTGTGTGAGGCGGCCTACGAACTCCTTTGTGAGTCTTGAAGCTGACTTCTGCTGATGAAACTGCAAACTATGTTCAGTAAAACGTTCTTACATTTTTTTTTATAATTCTGATGTCTTTATTCTTTATGTCTGGTTCTGGGTCTTTGACTGTTTACCCCTAACAGTACCAGTGTGCAAGAATTCAATGGGTAAACGTTTATTGGGAGTGAGTTACTTTGGTTTCCAGTGAAGGGGGGGTTCTGTTTAGTCAGTTCCACTCAACCCCCCGACGAACGAATTGACTCGGAAAAAGATTAGCTAATTTTGATGAACGAATTCGAACAGGAGAGTCACAAAGAACAGAACAAGGTGAGCATTTGAGCTTATAAAACTTAAACTTTGTTATTTATTTTTTAAATGAGCGATCGTTTCGCTTGATAAGACCCTTATTCATCGTCTGGAATCGTTTAAAGCCCTTTGAACAGTTTGCACTGAAACTGTCTCTTGGACCTTGAACCATTTGATTACCAGTAAAGTCCATTATATGGAGAAAAATCCTGGAATGATTTCATAAAAAAAAACGTAATTTCTTTTCAACTGAAGAAAGAAAGTCATGGACATCTTGGATGACATGAGGGAAGAGTAAATTATCAGCAAATGTTTTTTTTTAAAGTGAACTACTCCTTTAATAACCCTCTGTTGAACTGACTGTCCGTGGGCAGGATACAAAAATGCGGAAGTATTAATCTGTAGTTCACAATCTGTGGCATTTTGCATCAACCAGTGGACTTTTGTTGACAAATAAATGCGAGTAAACATTGATTATTTACATATACTACTGACAATGTAAGAAAACAGGTTGAAAAATCAACGAAGTTGCACTGCATCACTTCTGGTCAAACTAGGAGTCCATAAACGATAATATTGCTTCCTCCAATAAAAGAAAATTCCACCCCCTTATTTATTTTTAATGGTTTAAGCTCTCATTCTGAGGGCACACACTCAGGGCTAATTTCTCAAAATCTGTTCTGATGAAGAAACAAACAAACCTGAGGATGAGGATAAGTAAATCTTTGTTTTTGGGTGAATATTCCTTTAAGTGTAACAGAGTTAGATTCAAAAATTCATCAAAAATTAAATTTCTATCATCATTTACTTGTCGTTCCGAACCTGTTATAACTGAGTTCAAGGTTGTGTATTCCACAGATGAAAGTCATACAATTCCAATCAGTAAATAACACGCATTTAAATAGTGGAAAAGGCATATCCAAATAATTAGTGAATTAGATTAAATAATTTACAAGCCGTCCATATTATACACAGGTCTGAGCTTGTTGTTAAAGTGACCGAAAGAGGGAGGCAAAAGCACATGCAAGCAGTGAAGAAGAGTACAGACTCAGAGTGTGACGCCCTTATTTCCATAACCTGGATTCTGGAACTTATTAATGGGGCTCTTGTATATGGGGTTCTCTTGCTAGAGAGAGATTTGACAAGAAGAAAAGGTTTGGAGAGAGAAAGGCAGAAAGGAAAAAAACAAAACAAAACAAAATAGAATAGAATGAGAAAAACAGAACTGAAGAAAGAAAAAAGCCAGAAGAGCTGGCAGTTTTGACCAGTTCAGTGCATAGGTGTCAAACGATTAATCGCATACAAAATAAAAGTTTGTGTTTACATAATATATGTGGGTGCACTGTGTATAATTATTTTGTTAATTATATATATATACAGTGTTTCCTCTAGGATTTTTCCAAGCTGTGGGGGCAGGCCCATTTCCCCGGTGGGGGGGCCTTGTCTCCCCAAAGTATTATAATCGATCATGCGCATCCCGTGTGCAGAATGATGCACTTGAAGCAACACCAAGTCACAGCAAGCAATGCTTCACATTGAAAAGAACATAGCGAAGGGATTATATCTATAATATGCTTAGTAGGGCTGGACGATTTGGGGAAAATGTCATATTGCCATTGCAATTACTGAGGTCAATATTGGAATTGTGATATGCGATTCCGATATAATAAAATGGTTTCATGAGTCCAACTTGCTTGTTTCTAAAGTAAAATGCACACACAGATTAGTGATCATTCTGTGTATTAATGTTTATTTCTCAACTCAAACTACAGACAACACCTATAATGATCAATAAACCATCAACCAAACCATCATTACAGTGAAAGCTATCAACTTTTTAAAAAAAAATTATTAGGCTAAAAAAAAAATTTAACAAATTTTAAATTAAGTGAACTTCAAACAATCCCCACATAAACCCATAATAAAAACCATATTTACCTGTGCCCTTCCTGTCTAAACAGGTAGGATACAGAAATTGAATAAAGTTATCAAACAGTATGTGCTGCATGAATTATAAATTATATATAGAATAATCCTTATTAAAGCTACAAAAGTTCTTTAGTCCAGATCAGTGAGTAATTTTCTAATTTCCCTTTATTCTTTTAACTTGACTGACAGAACGCTTTATTCGCTGCTGGCCCTTTAAGAGCACCCGTTGCCGAGACGCGGATCTCACATGCGCCTCATAGCACAACTCCTTTCGTCCTTAAGACTTTTCTTACGTTATGAAGATACTCGACAAAACGACATTTTGGCATAATTGTGTGTGTTATTGTTCGTTCAAGCTCGGCACGCGTCAGTGCATGCGCATTATGGCGCGCGTCTTTCTGCGAGTCTCATTTAGGGCATTCACAGGCAGCTTTTCAGTTCTTGTGCAAAATGCGAAAAGGCATTTGCACGAATAAGAACAGGATCGTGTAACACTAGTCAAAGGATGATAAAAAAGAAGAGATGCTGCGTTAATAGCCCTAATTTGTTTATTTCATATAAAATCGCGGCATTTTGCGTTATATAATTGCATAGGTTTGAGATCGCTATTACGATTGCGATATGATTAATCGTGCAGCACTAATGCTTAGTGTATTCTATATGCAACAGTTTTTTGAGCCTTTTCTTTTAACAGTTTTAAATTTCAGTGCGCATGAAGAACAATAGCACTCTCTCGACTCCATGCTGTAATCTTACATAAAGGGAATGTGAAAGGTATGGGCAATAAACTCCACTCCAGCAAGATAAAGTCATTTTATGAAAACCATAGACCTTTATGCTTTATCTACAAATGAAGTATAATAATGGGAATATTGACCTTGAAGAGAGTGTCGCCGTGTCGCAAACGAACGCGACGAGCTGTGTGAATTCTGAATGGAGAATGACTGAGGCGAGATGACTTTCCGTTAACTTTAACTTAGCGACTAAAATTACACATTATGCAATGACTTTAGAAGTCTTGGAATATAGGGTGAAAACTTGATTGTGCTTTACAAAGTTTTTTATGCCTTTAGTGGGGCTTAACAAAATAACATAATACTATGCAGAATATCGGACGTCACTGAGAAGCTGCAGCCGTGGCGGGAGGATTTTAAGTGTGGCGGCCCGCCACGGGAGAATGAATGTAGAGGAAACACTGTATATATATATATATAAATACACACACGTGCATGTATATTTAAGAAAAAAAATATTATTTATATATAAAATATTTATATTTATTATTTATATTATTAATATTTGAAGAAGATCATTTAATGGACTGAAGCAACTTAGATTTACATGATTATCCATAAATCATTATTTAGAAAAGCAATTATGTAAAAAAAAAAAATGATACATCAGTATGATACACAAATTATGTGACTCAAATATGATACATCAGGCTTTTGAGGAACATTTATTTGTTTATCTCTCTGTATTTTGCCCCTCACAATTAAAACTACAGAGCTTTGGTCATAAAATAAGCATTCAAATATTATTATAAGATGCAATATTGGGAGATATAGAATGACAAGACAACGGATATTTATATGCATTTTATGCAAGTAGTCTTATTTTGTTATAAAGATCTCATTGATTTACATTACAAGCTATTAGAACTTCATTATAATTTTGGCCATATAAATAACATCTGCACCAAAACTAATTTTTTTTTCTCTCAAATGTGAACTCCATATTCTCATTATATTATATGGGGCATAAAAGCCAAAATATGATACAAATCATAAATAAAAAAAAAAGGAAAAAAAAAAGGTTGCATATGTGATTTATTTAAAAGGTTCAATAAACTGCTTCATTTAAAAAAATATATAATATTATATATATATATATATATGAAGAGTTCAGATGCAAAAGCCTCTAAATGCCATTTGAAATTTTCTTCTTTAATGATGATTTTTATCAAGCTTGTATATTTAAGTTCAGTGATTTCACTTAAATGGCAACGATAATTACCTATTAATTGTTATTTAAGTGAAATTACTGAACTTAAATATACAAGTTTGATAAAAATCATCATTAAAGAAGAAAATTTCAAATGGCATTTAGAGGCTTTTGCATCTGAACTCTTCATATATATATATATATATATATATATATATATATATATATATGTGCAGACCTATATGCTTTTTGAAAAGCTTCCGATCCAAAGTAAATTGTTCTTAAAGCACGACCCTATCTTCCTGTGTCTATTGCTGCAACATTCTGTAGGACTCATTCGCTGCAATACTAGCTGCGACCAGAAGGGGGTAGGAGTGATCGCCCCTGAGCCCAGAGAGGCCACACCCCACACAATGAGCCAGATATCCCATTACACCTATCTGCAGTGCTTTATAGAAATTAAAAATATGTAACTACATTCTGTCATTACCACAGGTTTCTCTAGTCCAATCAGGTGGCCACATAAGATATGACTGAATGAATATAACTCTTAACAGATACTTGAAAATGAAACGTAATCTAAATTAGAGAAACATACCGTGTCCCACTTGGCATTCATCTTCTCTTTCTCGAACTTGGCGAACTCTCTGCGGTCGTGAATAATCATGAGCAGCTTCCAGATGAGCAGAAGTGCTAAACCAATCAGAACGATTCCTGCGACCACACCCGCCACGATGGGGATGATGTCAGGGCCAGAGGGACACTCTGTCAACACAGACGCAAAGCATTATGGGACACAAGGTAAGCAACTAGTTAGGTTAAACTAAATTTAATCAAGGCGTACTGGTACTTATTTCATCCAGCATTTACCAAGTTCCTCGGCCACGTGGACCTCAATGGTGCTGTCGTTCTTAGACGCGTAGGAGAAGAAGAACCAGCAGTCATTAGCATCTCGCTCTTTGCAGTGATTGATGTAGGGTTGGTCGTGGGGCTGAGGAAGTTCGTTCTTCATCTTCACTACTTTAAGATTGAAGTAGGAGCATTCTTTCTCACACGTGTCTTTCTTGTCACCAGTACCAAATGCTCGGCACTGGACGCAATCCCTGTGAGGAAAAACACAGGCGAATATTTTAAGTGCTGCAAGAGGAGCATAACAAACAAGCCAGTTGTTTGAGCAAGTGTTCTGTTAATTACTTACTTGTGTTCAGTACAAACTCCAGGGCAGGTTGGGCAGATTTCACAGGTCGGACCCTGAAACTTTGAGTCTGTGCATTTACACACGCCACACTCGCAGGTGCCCCGACCATTACAGGTCTGTTTGTTACTGGCCAGGCAGGTGGAGGTGTCCAGAGAACAGTCGCATGCACTACCGGTGTAGTTAGCGTCACAAATACACTTTCGGCAATCACAACGGCCGTGACCTGAAAAGATAAAGAAACACTTTTAGTTTGTAACTTGTCATCTGTTTAATCATTTACTATTACCCTACTTAATTTCTAGGGATGCACAATATATCGGGCAATATACGTTTATTTTAATGTTATCGGCCCGATAAGAAAATTTGGACAATATATTAACGCCGAAAAATGTGTTTGGAGTGTCCGCGCGCTGGTCGCCGTCATGGTTTTGAATTGCTTCAAATATGATTTGAATCACTTCAAAAAGAAGTGGAACATGTGCAGAGCAAATCTTGCACATAGGCTACAAAAAAATATAACGAGAACCAGTGTTGGGAAAGTTCACTTTCTACATGAACTAGTTCAAAGTTCAGTTTACACATTTTAAAATGAACTAGTTCAGTTCATACTTCAAAAACTGAGCTAGTTCATATGGCTTTTTTTCCATATGTTGCAAGCTTCTTTTTTTAAATTATTGCCCATATACAACCACAGACAACAATTATTTTATCGACGGGCAAAGATTGCACAGAAATGTAAGATTTTTCCCATCCTCAACGACCTCGTCATAAAACCTGTTTAAATTATCATACGATGCTTCCTCGCTCGCTGCTTTGTCGACGGCGGCTGCTATGCAACACTGGTGGCTTGTGTTGCCAGATTGGGTGTTTTTTCGCTACATATTAAGGCCTGTTTAGGTGTGTTTTAGCCAGGTTTTCGCCTGGAAGGCTCTATAGAAATCTGGCACCCTATTTAACGAAGTTAAACAAAGGGGGTGTGCGTTCACAGACACCAGAATGAACGAGTTCACAGGAACGTTCTTCAGGCAGTAATACAGTACGTTCAGTTCTCGTTCGCCAAAAATATGAACGCGTTCACGAACTATCATTCATTGAACGTGTTCAGGCACAACACTGACGAGAACATTATAAATGTGTGCTTGGGACATTTTTATTTTACCTATATTTTACCAGGAAGTCTCATTGAGATCAAACATCTCTTTTACAAGAGAGACCTGGCCAAGGTGACAGCCATACATAAACACAACGGTAACACTTTACAATAAGGTTCATTAGTTAACTACATTAGTTAACATTAACTAAGAATGAACAATACTTCTATAGCATTTGTTAATCTTTGTTAATGTTAATTTCAACATTTACTAATACTTTATTAAAATCTTCTTAACATTAGTTAATGTACTGTGAACTAACATGAACAAACAATGAACAGCTGGATTTGTATTAACTAACGTTAACAAAGATTAACAAAAACAGTAACAAATGTATTGCTCATGTTAGTTAATACATTAACTAATGTTTAATAAATGAACCTTATTGTAAAGTGTTACCAACACAACATATTAAAATGCTACATACAAAGTAGTAGCCATACATAAAACACAACATAGTGAGGAAAAAATAAATAAAAATAAATAAATAACAAAATGCTATGGCTTTTGGCCATAGAAAACCATTTACATGGCTTTTAAACAGTGAAGACTTGTGTTTTTATAATATCTAAAAATGTGGATTTAGATTTATCGGACAATATATTGGTTTTTAAATATTAAGAATTATCGTATCGGCCAAAATTTTCATATCGGTGCATCCCTATTTATTTAAGTTAACATTAATTGTATTTCAAGTAATGAAAATGTATTTATTGTTTTAGTCAAATAAGCTATTTTGTTTATCCCAGGACAGAGAGAAAAAGAAAAAACGCTGTCGTACCTCCACAGAGCTTGTTGTTGGATCGGTCGCAGTTGAAGTTGTCGCACTCGCAGAACTTTCCGCTGTATCTCTCCTCTGGGTTGTCCCTTTTCTTACACTCACACGTTCCACAAACACAGTCTCCATTGTTGCTGCAGATGTCGGTGCCGTTATCCATGCGGCAGTTTGCGTCTAGATCTTCTGTTCTCACCTCGTCTTTGCTACATTCACAATTCCTTCCGATACGTCCATCATTGCACCTGAATATAAAGAGAGGTAGATATATATCAGTGCTGCCACTTGAGGATTTTATGGATGGTACCATCAGTGCCAGTATATAACTCACCTGCATGCTCCACACTCCAGTGTGCCGTTGCCGAAGTGACACGATGGGCTGTTTGGGATTCCGTCTTTATGACACTCACATTCACAGATGAAGTTGAGGACGATCTCCACCTCCTCAGTGAAGCCCAGCGGTTTGATCTTTATCGTCTCAGACTTGCCATTAGATGGACAACCCTTAGCTGTGATCGCTACCTCAAACTTCACCTATGACACAAGGATGAAGAGTTACCAGTAAGCAAAATACGCATTTTTAAAATTTTGCCTTGATTTTTATTTGCAGTCTTTGTAGTTTTAAATATCAGGTTGCTGAATAGTGCATACTTTCATTTCTTTAAGGGCCCCTATTATGTATTTCTAAAAATTAACTTTCATGTAGTGCGTTGTGACATCGAGACGAAACATTAGTATATTGCCCGCCCACGTATTGCGAGCGCCGACACCAGGAAAACACTTAAACCTCAAACCAGCAGCTGATTCCTGTGGATGCTGGACAGAATCATGTATTGTGTGGGTCTCCTGCTAACTGGCTAACTGATATTATCACTGTTGATCAGCTGTGGTCCACTATTACCTAAAACTGTGTCAATTAATGCAGATTGTCTGTCGTTCTCGCTAGTTTGAGGAAATATTTGTTTTACCAACATTTGTTACATCAGATCATTCACTCTAGAGCTTGGCTAATGTACATTGCATACATGCACTGTTATTGATACAGTTTTCACGTATTCACCTCAATGTATTAGAAAAATAATCGGTTTGTTGATGGACTTGTTAATGCCGATGGGTGAGGAATTAGTTGCAACACCTCATAATGTACCTCAGACTGAGTAGGAGAAACGTCCTGCTCGAGTCGTCCTTGCGATGGAGGTTCGGGTTCTTCCTGTGTTTCATCATCGGATTCGCGCTCAAATTGATATGGTAAAATCGACGTCATTGTACGTTACTGTGTTTAGTTTAAGGTGTTTGACGCCTCAGGACAAGCAGAGCTGACGTTGTTATGACAGTTTTTTTGTTTTTGACGCACACATTGTTATGCTGTAGACCAATCACCACAGACTGAGCCGTCTAGCCAATCAGAGCAGAGTAGTTCGAGGAAATGAGGGATTTTGAGGTACATTGCTTCATTTGACGAGTCGTTTGAAAATCATTGAAAATGTGGTGATGTGCAAATGTATATTATGAGAAAATGAAACTTTTTTTTAATCTTTGATGCATGTAAACATGTGGAAAACTCATAATAGCATAATAAGGGCCCTTTAAAGATAAAATAGCAGCTAAAAATATTCCGTAATGACTCGTTCAAAGATGCAACTGCGTTAAATTTTTAACTAGAGGAAATTTTTCTGACCTCATCCCCAATGGAGATGTTGGAGCACTTCCTCCCGTTTTCTCCTTTTTCAATCACTCCATTCTTGCAGTGGGAGATGTAAGAGATGGACACACCTTCGGGCAGCCTGCTGTTCTCCAGAATGACCTCAGAGGACAGAGACTGAGAAAGACAGATTCAAGAAATGTATATTTCATTTAAGAAAATATAATATTAAAATAATTAAACACATGCAGGATAGTCTTTTTAGTCTATTTATTTTCAATTCAATATGCTTTGATGCTTTCCCCTGTTTAAAATGTTGCAGAAATTTGGCAAAAAAACAAACGGAATTAGCTAAAAGAATTTACTAAATAGTATTTTCGCCTCTGTGATCTACTCACATTATATGCATCAATAATGAGATCTATCACATTGTTGGAGTCGGAGGTTAGAGTGCCCACAGCTGACTTTGGAATGAGGTTTTTCAGCTCCTGTAAATGAAACAAAAACAGTTTATCCAGTTTTTTTCCATGCAGTATTTTATTTCAACGAGTGTCACAGGATCTGACTTGCCCATTGATGTAGACACAGAAGACTGCTTTTCTCACCTGGTAAACAGGCTGGAACTCTTCAGTTACTGCAAAAATGGTCTGAATGTTGTTTTCGCTTAATTTTTGAACGAGATGTGCAATAGATGGATAGTCCTAAAAGGGACAGATTGAAAAATGAGACATATTTATATTCATGGAGGCTAATACAGAACAGTAATGACTCACATTGGTGTAACACACACTTACATAGTAATGGCTCATGGTGTACATGTTATCCTGCAGGTGGCATTTCCCATCATTAGGAAGCACGATGCCGCCCAGTTTTCCGTCTCCAGCAAAGTGAAATCCAGCATCCGTGGAAAACACAAGCAGACGGGTAACATTCCTCCAGCCAATCTGATTCTGATACACAATCAAGAGGAAGAATGAATTTCATTTCCAAAATCTGACAAGTCAGCAGGGTTAGAAGCTCCTTCACTTTAGTTTGACTTCAGATTACACTGATCCAGTAGACGCTGGACTCTTGGTAACAGCACAATAAAACGAATACAAATTAAACATTAAAAAATTTAATTGAAATTGCTGCATTTATTTGATGAAAAATACAGTAAAAACAGAAATACTGTGAAATATATTCAAATAGAAAACAGGTGTTTTAAATTGTAATTTTATTTTAAAATGTAACTATTTCCTGTGGAGGGAAAGCTGAATTTCCAGCATCATTACCCCTTCGGAAATCATTTTAATATGCTGATTTGGTGATCAAGAAATATTTCTTATTATTATCGAGGTTGAAAACAGTTTTTGCTGCTTAATATTTTTGTATAAACTGTGATTTTAAATGGTACTTTTATTCAGCAAGGATTCATTATTTTGACTAAAAATTACAGTCAAGACATTAATAATGTTACAAAGATTTCTATAATAAACGCTGTTCTTTTGAATGTTCTATTCATCAAATAATCCCAAAAAATTATCACAGTTGTAATATAAATATATAATTTTATCATTTCATTATTAAGTTAATGAAATAAAAATGACAAACCGCGCAGACAGCCACTTGCATGATGGCATCGAACCCTCCCTCTGGTGAGTCCAGGTTTCCTGAGATCTGCTGTCTGCTGACAAGGGTATTAAACTGAGATCCGTCCTCAGTCAAACTCAGCACATTTTTATAGCTGAACGGACTGGTGCAGTTCTGGTCAGATGTGCAGGGGTTCAGCAGCTTGGCTGGTGTCGTGCTGATGTATGGCATGACGGTTTTTTCCACAAAAGAGCCAAAGCCTAGAAGCATTAACAAACATCAAAGGAAAAGTGTTTATGGAATCAGCAGCATAATTAACATTGCACTTCACCAACACAAATAGAGACAAATCCAGTATGGATCCTCTAAGGTTCCTTACCAATCCTGAAGTCAGATGTGATTGTTTGCATTTTTTTCATCAGGTGGGTTCCCAGGTTTTTGACATTCTCTAAATCGTCTTTCATTGAGAAGCTGAGATCCATCAGGTAGTAAAGATCTATGGGATAATCCTCAGCCCTCTTGAATTTCAGAGTGAATTTCTGAGCTTCACCTAGGTTGGAATGAGAGAAGATTATAGGATTAGACAAGCTTTCCACTGGACATCCAACTTTATTAGGTGATAACCTAAATCATTTAAGTGTTCCAGGAGTTGGGGTGGGAGTAACCAGTACCTGATCGGAGGTCTAGGGTGAGTTTCTGTGGCTGAATCTGGGTGATCTGGTCTGGCTTCAGTTTCACTCCGTTCTTTGTGCGGTTTGTTACAGGTTGGTTTTTGTTGACTGTAACGGCACCCCGAGGATTTTCTATGCTTGCATCAGAACAGCCCTTCTTTATCAGAGCATCAATCTCATCACAGCGTGTGGATTTCTGCTCACCCTGTTTCAGAAAGCTCTGCAGAAATAGGCAAGGGAATAAAAGGAAAGAGTCAACTCTTTAAAGAGAATTGCATTCTTTTGGGACAATATATCCTTGCTTGTTAATGTGTTATATTTCATAGAAAGCATAATGCTTTTTGGGAAATTACCTTTCATGTAATAGTGTAATACATCATTGATTTTTGAATACCATTTACATTCACAAACATCTAAGTGCACAATAAACGGAGTTAACTGCCTGAAAACGAGTCGTCAGTAATTCCAGTCTCAATTCCTGCTCAAACCTACGTAGGTTTGTTACACATTTGCATAATTCCAGCATATGGTCTCCATTGGCTACCTTCAAAGCCCATATATTAACTCACAGATAGACCCTCCCCTTGAAGAAAGCAGGACAGAAGTGGTTAAAAGTGGACAAAAGAGAAAGAAAGACCAAGGATACACGCAAACCTATTGTATGAGACCTCAAATGCAAAATTAGGAATCTTTAAAATAGCATAATAGGGACACTTTCAATTTCACTATATTGTATTAAAGTCCCCGTGAACCGGAAGTTGCAAACGATTTTTCTCCAGTGCTGTGACGTATTTCCAAGTGAAACGGAATATTGAACAGAGGGCAGGGTTTTACTCTAGCGCTCCTCCTCTCCATCTCTCGCTCATAGCAAACTAACGGTTTGAGGGGAGTGGTTAAGCGTTTCCCCACCCAAACCGTGAAACCTACGTCATCAGAAAAAGAAACCGTTCCAGACCGGAAGTAACTTTTCAGATTTTGATTAAAGATTACTAAGGTAAAACATTTTTTTTAATATATATTCACTTGCACGGATTAATTGTTCACCACAAGACTAGTAATATGCGCTAACAAAGTAAATAGGTTCAATTTTGATTTCACGGGGACTTTAAAATTCTTACAAGATGTCCAGCCTCTAAACTTGTAAACTGGACACCTTTTTCTTCATGATTAAACTTGCTATGGCTATATTAAGGTGAACAGTGAACCAGAAATGCCACCAAATGGAATTGCTGACAACAAATTAGTACTATAAATATTGTTTTCAAATATAGGTCAGACAAAAAGATATTCACACCAAAAACTCAAGCCATTGGTTGAGCCAATGTTGCCGTGTTGGGCTAGTCAGGATGAGGATGTGCAGTGCGTCTGTTGAAACGATTAAGAGGGGGCTCTATCCTTACAAAGCTCAAACCCCCCACCCTGCATTACATGCAGTTTAATGATAGTACACTTCCGGTCTCTCAAATGTAGTGTGAGATGATTGGGGCTTCCTGTTGTGCCGTAATCCGCTCCACATGTCAGAAACAAACATAATTACACAGGACGCTGACTCATAAACACTAACTAAAGGGTAAAATGTGCTCACGTTCCAGTGAAATGACCCCGGGTAAAAATCAACCACAGGCGAATAATGGTGAGACAAGAGGTGATGTCACTCGAAGCATTTCAGAAAGCTTAATCCTTTGGATACTTCGCTCTCCCATAAACAATTTAGGTTTTGAGCACAGAATCATTGGTAGAATGACAGGATGTCCTCTACAGACTTGGATAAACAAATAATCTGACCACAGGAAATAGTTTCCCTAATAACATGCTTTTCCCCCCTTAAATGCACATCGTTGCAAAAGCAGCCATTTCCTTCTTTAATGGTTTAAACTCACCTCGTCTGTACACCAGCCGCACTTTTCTCCGGCCTGAATGCATTCGCCACAGGACTGGGCCGAGGCCTTGGTGCATTCGTTACCATCTGCACACACACATCAATCATCATCACTCGCAATTCCCTCCCACCATTAACACAGGCAATCCTAAGCAAAGAGCATTTAATAACCAACACTGTGGTCAACCATACGCAACATGATTCCCTCTCATTTTAAAATAGACACAAAGACGGTCTGGAGTGGCTATATTCTGTGGGGGAGGTCATGTGAACTGTATTAATGATGGCATCCTTACTGCCTTCTCTAATGACATAATGCAAGCCACGAGGCCAGTGCTCCAAGAATACACCGTGCTGAATTGTAGCAGATCGCTAGATAAAAATGATACATATCCCGCCTATCATTTTGAATTAAAGCTATGGATTTCTCTCTCTATCTTTTCTTGGATTCCACAGTGCTGCCATATTTGAGATATCCCTGGAATGAAAATCATTGCAAATGCCTAACAGATGATCATCTGGACAGCATTGCAAGAATTTTATCAGGTTCTGGTCTGGTGTGTGTTCTGAGTGAGAGGAACTTCCAAAATAAAATCACTCAAAACGTCAAGCTGCTTTTACTCACATGCTATCATACTGATACAGAGAGGTCGAAAGTCTGACACCACAATGAAAATGTGATTTAGACTATTCAATTGTTTTAATTACACTTTAATTTAAAATAAAAAACGCTAATTTAAAAAAAATATATTCTTAATGACAACAAAACGTGACAAAATTAATGAGAAATTAAGATTTGGTATTATTATGCTTCCACTGAAACTCAAAACAAGCCCTCCAGGACTTTGCAGGGATTTTTTTTCTTATTGTTGCAGAAACAAAAGAATCAATTCACAGATTTTCACAATAAACGTATTCATACTTTTGTTTTTTGTTTGTTTTGTATGTTAACTTCAGTAATTAACATTAGGTGAGGACATCAAAAACCGGACTAAAAACGCACACCAAGTTTTTGACAGCAAATTCTCATTATATTATCATTATACAGAGATTTATTAAAAGGAACAATTATCAGATTATCAATATTTTAAACCCAAGATGGAAAATAAATTATATTCACTACAGAAAATTCCACAACTCAAGTGAAAAAAAAACAAGACTTAAAGGGATAGTTCACTTTGAAATTAATTTGTGATATGTTTGAGCTTACCTCAAGGGCATCCAAGATGTAGGTGTCTTTGTTTCCGCAGTATTTTCAATTTTGATATTTTTAGGGGTCCACCTCAAAGAGCATGCACAGAGAAGTCCAAATTAAACATGATTTAATGACTCGTAAATGTAAGTACACATTGATGGCCTAAGACACGAAATGAGCGGTTTGTTTGAGAAAACAAACAGTATATATATCGTTTCAGTATTTAGATCACTTCCGGCGCTTTCCGGCGCAGAAATAGAGAGAAGCACATGTGCCTTCAGATCAGTTGGACATGGCTGTTAACAAGAGGTAAAAACGATATAAATACTGTTCGTTTTCTCACACCAACCGCTCGTTTCGTGTGTTAGGCCATTAATGTGTACTTACATTTACGAGTCATTAAATCATGTTTAATTTGGACTTCTCTGTGCATGCTTTTTGAGGTGGACCCCATAAACCTCCATTATATGACTGACAGACACGAACGGTTCGACCTAAATATATCAAAATTGAAAATACTGTGGAAACAAAGACACCGACATCTTGGACGCCCTTGAGGTAAGCCAAAACATATCAAAAATTAATTTCAAAGTGAACTATCCCTTTAAAAAAATGAATTCAATAAATGCAAAGACAAATTGCACAGATTCCTTTTTTACTAGTGGCCTCAGACTTTTGAACACCTCTGTATATCTGATGCATTTGAAATCACAAGTTCTTACCTTGTTGTGCCCTGCTGAGTCCAAGAAGCACAAAAATCAGGAGCAGCCTCACGTCCATCTGAAAACAACACAAGCACAAGAGTCAAAATCACCCAGGAAAACATATTGATTTGCATTGTATTTCTTTGATATACTAAGATGTATAGACAAATATATATATATATATATATATATATATATATTATTTTAATAGATACTAACAACAACAACAATTAATCCATATTAACAATTGAATTAAATATAAAGCCTTTTTGATTAAACCAATAGTAGTGTGAAAACATTAACATTTAGAGGAAGGGTGTGCCTATGCGTGTATGACTACTCAATGTGTAGGCAGTGTTACGAGGTCACTTCCTGTTTCTCCTAGCACAAATGCTTGATCTCAGGAAAGAATTCCAACAGTTTGCAGTGAAGAAACAGATTCTTCTTCATTTTGCAGACACTTTCTTAGATCTAAAGTGACTGTTTTACAAGGACAATCCCACCACAACACTCAGGTTACTTAAGGTTATCTTAACGGTTTACAATCACATTGAGAAGTCAAATATTACAAAGCAAGTACAAAACCTAGTTATTGTTGCTACAGTCAGCAATGAAACGCGCACAGAACGAAGCCAGACAAGCACGCACAGACATCCAGGAAAAGAGAGAGACTCTACTCCCATATTTGGTAACACGTTGGATCTGCTCTTCCAAAAAACACTCCGCTGATGAAACAAAGACGAGGAGGTTTACCTCAATCTATCAAGTGTACAGACACCAGTGCCAAAGATGCTGATTTGGCCTTATTAGGCATGGCAGCGAGTATAAACAAACAATAGTGTTACTTAGTGTCCTAAAAAACACTTCAGCCACAGGTGGGAAAGTTTTTACAATCCAGCATAAGAAATACACACGTAAAAGACGCAAATCTAGCAAAACTCCTGTGGTTTTGAAGCAGAAGGTGTGTGAAAAGGCTCATTTTTCTTTGTTTAAAGCAGAATAATGTCTACTGTTGAGACTGGACAGGTGAGTGAACTGCAGTAGACTCACTCAACCGTTACTCTATCTACACACACACAAGACCTGTGAACACTTGAAGATAAGCAAACAGTGCTTCTTTCAGAACACTGCTGGCGTTCATTTAGACCACAGAATCCAGTGTGTGTGTGTGTGTGTGTGTGAGAGACCATGAAGGACAGCGAGTGATTTATCTTGGTCCCATGATGGCATATACATGTACCCCCTAAATAATATTATTAATAATAATAATTCATTCATTTGTGATAAATTAGTATTTATTGTACATTTGTCTATTTGATAATAATTTTCCATTATTATATTGTTTTAACTTATTTTTCACTTTTGCGATAGAAATGTAAAGTTTTTGTTGCTATAAAAAGCACTACAGTAGTTGTCAGTCATGTAAAGCATGCAAACTTGTATCTAAGGGTGTAACGATACACTCATGTCACAATTCACGATGTCACAAGCTCACGATAGTTTAAGCCAAAATAAAGGAGAGGTATTTTTATTATTAAAATATAAATATCATTATTACTGTATCATCAGGACACACGAACATTTTGTATCATACATTTTATTTAACATTATATATATATACATATACAGTATATATATATATAGTAGTTTAATATGGTGTCACTGAAACCATATTAATTTCTTCGTTTAATTTCTTCTCACGCAGTACTTTCAAACTAGACATTAGTTGGATCTTGGACTTAGATTAGGCCACTCGATTGAATATTTTTACAATATTGTTCGGATTTTTCAAGTTTTAGATGAATGGACTTTAATGGATGGACAGAAATCTCTTAGGTTTCATGCAAAATATCGTCATTTGTGTTTGGAAGTTGGACGAAAACCTTATTGGTTTGAAATAGCATGAGTCAAGTCACATTTATTTATATAGCACAGTACTTTTTACAATACAGATAGTTTCAAAGCAGCTTTACAGAGGTAACACAGGAAACTTTTTTTGTTTTTTAAAAAAAAGCTATTAATTTAGTTACACATACATATACATATATCCGCTCTGGAGTAAACCGTGATGTCATCGTCCAGCTCAGTACAGTTCTTGTATAATAGTGTCAATGCAGGCAGGTCAATATATTATTGTTGAAAATTAAATAAAATGTTAAATTTAATGTCCCCAACTGAGCAAGCCAAGCCAATGGCAAAAAACAAAAAGGTGACAAATGGAAAGGGTGAAACATGAGGGTGAACTGAATACATGACAGAATTGACATTTCTGGGGGAATTATACTGAAAAATACAGTAAGCTGAGTCACCCATCTGTTTCATACCGTTCTTTTTCGCTAGTGGAAAAAAAACAGCTTCAAAATTCAAATGTGAGGTATGACTGAGTGTTATTGATGTGATAGAACAAATACATTATACCAAAACTGCTATTCCGAAAACCTAAGCTCTAAAATAAGCTCTTAACCATAGCTCTTCTGGACTACAAAATCAACATTTCTCTAAAGCACACTATTTTACATTGAAACTGAAATAGGGAAAGAAAGGAAAAGAGTGAGTTTTACAGTAATACAGGCCAATTGCATCCTATTACTATTATTTTGTTTCTACACAATGTAAATGCAGTTGATCAGGAAAATAAAACTGAATATCACTTTAAGTGTTCAAGGACACCATGTGCAAAACATCAGTCTACTCTGCTGACTCAGGCATGGGAAGTTCCTTTTTGAACAGATCACTGGTGTGTCAGAGCATCATTTCCAGGTTATTCCTTCTGGAGAAACATCTGAGCTTCAGAGTGATTCATCTTTACAATATCCACACATCAACCAATCAGGTTTCAAAACTCAAAACTTTCAGCTATTATCAGTCTTCAGTGCCACATGAACCTTTCATTCTAATGTGCTGATTCAATTATGAAAACAGTTGTGCTGCTTAATATTTTTAATTATAGTGTTGGTTAGGTTTACAGAAACCAATCAGCTTTCAATCAAGTCCAGAAACACACGTGTTCATGAACCAAAGCATCCACTGAAAACCTGTCTTTGAAAGATGTCATCATGGTAATAATAATAATAATAATAATAATAGTATGCAGAAAATCTTTGAACACTTTTTTACTTCAAACCCAGTGACATCATAGTAGACTAAATTTCAAAAATAAGCTCTTCAATGCACAATGTACTCCCAGTGACCTCATTGGTCATGTATTTGACAGATTCTCATTTATAAGTCTCGCTGGCGCAGAGGCAGATTGAGCTGCGAGACAGCTGGTTCTTTAGCATGCCGTTTCATTCTCAGTGGTTCTGTGTAACACTATCTTCAGGGAGAGTATGTGTGTGGGAGAGAGAGACAGAGAGCTTTTCAATTCAGCCTTGTCTGCCTTCCCTAAGGCTGTGTTGTGTGTCAAGACCTTGAAAATGCAGCCCTGGGGTCAGGGTGTTTCTAGATATAAATTTTTTAGTGTGTGTGTGTGTGTGTTGAACACTCCCTTCAGCTGCCTGGAGCGTCTTTGATACTTAATGTTCCAAAGCTCCGCCCACATCAAATAATCAGATCACATTTCCGCTTCAGGCAACACACTCTTTTACCAATGTTTAAATTACAAGTGTGCATAAACGGTCTTTAAATTACAATCAAAAGTGAGGCACAAATACATGCCAGCACAAACGTTATTTATGGGAAGAGAAATATGAACAGACTGAAATCGTACTATTTTCAGTCCACATCAAAACAAAGCAACTCATTCAGTAACCGCTCTGATAGAGTGAGTTCAGATTTGTCTGACTGATTTAAAAATTGTCTTTTGAACTATTCTTTAAAGATCTTGATTCAAGAACCGTAATTTGGAAATCAGACTACACTGATTGCACTGTATTTGATTTACTACAAAGAATCAGATCATAAACTCATTTTTTAATTGCATCACATTCAATGCAGACAATACAAAACACATAAAGATGTGACAAAGCTGTATGCCTGTAATTGTCTCAGCTTTTTGATGCTTTAAACAGGAATTCTTAAGTCACGGTTCTCGGTTATCCACTAATGCGGATTTATGTGACTGTCCAGACAAACATGCACACAGAGTGGCCATTAACCCTCCACAGCAGGGCGGCCATTTCCTTAATTAAACTGCCTCACACTGCCAACCCCCTCCATCACACACACTGCTAAGTGATGGGCGATCATTTACCTCAGACGGTGAGCGGCAGACAGACTGGGGAAACTCCACCTTCACAAAAGTGATGGAGACTCGCACTGCAGTAAAGGCCTTCCTAATACGTTAAAGGTACAGTGACAATTTCAAATATCCTAAGCAAGGCATTCATATGTTAATATACCATTAAATGAAAACATTATCAGAACATTTGATTAGCCAGCAGTCATATCAGCTTCTATATCAACCAATGGTGTGAGGTTGGGCTTTTCTTTCAGAACAATGGCAGACAGAGGAGTGTTTGAGAAAGGATTTTGTTCCAAACCTTTCAAAACTACCTCAAACTCAAAACTCTTTCAATCTTAAACTGCTTCAAACTTTCTAGCCATGGCGCTCTCACACCAAAATAAAAGTACATCTGAACAAACTTCTTCAATTTATAAAGCTGTTCACTGTAGCAGAAATAGCAGACTTTTTATATAATGTCCTCTTCACAGTAAGCTGTAACTATTACAGCAGATGCAACTCTCTTAGCACTTTTAAAAAAAGTCTAGCTGTGGGCTCTTCAGATTACAATGACCAATTTGTTTTCAACGCCTGGCTGCCCTGCCACCATTTTCTCTCATTATGAATGCGTAATAACAGTTCAGGCGACAGGAAGTGAGTCAAAGCATTGAACAATATGACTCAGTCTCTATGCTTACCTTTATGACCTACACTGACCTTAGATTGTGAATGTGATATCCGCAATGGCAGGTTAAATGATGCCACCCTGCTTACAGTATATAGATGCCAAAAATGGCTGGCCTTGAACACCCACAGCAAAGTATTAGCTCACTTCAGACCCTTATTTCCCAGCTGGGATGGTGTAGAGCCCTTCAAAAGTGCATTGAAAAAGCAATTTGGACATTCAACCTGTTGGTCCCATTGAAGTCCACTATATGGAAAAAAATCCAGGAATGTTTTCCTCTTGAACCTTAATTTCTTTTCGAACTGACCACTGAAGACAGACAGGCATGAACATCTTGGATGACATAGGGGTGCGCAAATTATCAGGAAATTTTGATTCTGGAGTGAACTAATCCTTTAAAGTTGCAATGAAATGGAAGCAGCAACATTTTTCCATATTATGACATACATCCAAGGGTAAGAACAGGTTACTGAAAAAGAAAAGGTAGGGCGATAGACATCGGTTGTTTACTGAATTTTGAAATGGCAAATGAGCTGGTGGCACGTGCAGTTTTAATTTGACTAAATGGTGTCACTTTCACAGGAAAATCCAGTTATGACATTTTAATTAAAAGTTACAAGGTCAGGAAAAACTTTTAAAACGGGTGAAAAAAGAAACATACATTAAGTCTTTCACAATCAGATCTATAACATGCATTTAGAAATAGATGCATTTTCATTTCATGCTGACTTTAACATTCATCACTTCTTAGTGGATCTTATAAATCAATAGTCATTTAAGCTGTTTGATTCAAATGCAGACTCTTTATCCTGTATGTTCAGATCCAACCTCTTTCTTTCCTCTCCCAGTGAAACAATTTGCTGCTAATAACAGAGCACTGCCTAGATACAAACGTGCGCACACATGTACAAACACACAGGAAAAAAATAAGTCCTACCATTTAGTCTTCCCTCACAGTTTTAAAAATCTTTGTATTGTTACTCTGCAATTCCTACCTATGTAAATTGTTTATTATTTCGACAACATTTTACATCCAGTATATATTTTTTCTTCATTAGCCATTCCAAATAATTGATATTGCATTGCAACCACAGCTTTAATATTAGGCTACTGTTACTTTTAAACTATAATAAATATGGACCTCCCCTGAAACAGTGTCAGCTTTGTCTCCTTTTTTGTTTTGTAGTCTCTGACACTAAATTCACAATTTTATTGTAGCAACAACAGCTGTAGAAACAATAGCATTTTTGGCAGACTACCATTTTCTATAAGAGTAGGTTCTGTCAGGATATGCAAACAGACATTCCACCCAGTAAAAAAACAATTTCTGGGAGATTAAAAAAAAATATTATAGGCTAAGGCTACTATTATATTCATTCACGTAAATCGCATTACGCAGGATCGTTCATTCGATAGTATTCGCATGCCGAAAGGGATGTAGTTGAGTGCGACGAAAAAAGAGCTGAGTCTCCAAACCAGGTATAAAGAGACAAATTTCAAACTTTATAATATGACAGTTAAAAAAAAAACAGTCAGAACTTTAGCAGTCACCTACAAGTAGAGTACTAACAGATTACTCTTGATAACAGATAACACTTAATTGTAACATAAAAACATCCATTTTTTTCTGTAAAGCTCCTTTGTGTATTGCGAAAAATGCTATAAATTAATATGAATTACTTGAAAGGAGCAATATTTAGCTTGCTAGTCATCAGTAAAATGACATCAATGCAGCATCATGAAACAGTTTGCATTTACCAATACAGTCTAGAGGTACCAAAATAATTTAACTGGTCACGTGACCTTGCCCCGTTGAGGCGACCCGCTCTCAGTACAATAAAACAGCTTTTATTAGGCTGGTATCTTGATTTAATGCAAGTTACATCACTTTAAAATACTAAAAGCACTCCTCATTTCTTTTATATGGGAAAAATTTTCGTGAGAATTTTTTTTTTTACTGTGAGTTCAACTTTAAGACATCCGGCAAAAAATACAACATTCTTCCACACGATCACGTGACCGGGATGGATGGATGTGAGAGTTTAATGCAGATCCGCTGTGGGATCTTTCCTTGTAAAATTGGCCCGTTAGCATTCCACAGACCTGTCCATGTCTAATGCCATGACTCAATTTCTCCTAAAACATCACAAAGGACGAGCATGATGCTCTTCATCACATAGGCCTAACCGCAGTCATAGTGGTGCTGTAAGAATGACAAACTTCTCCCGGCCGATGTGCTATGAGTATGAATCTCAATTATATGATTCTTTAATATGCATCCGCCAGGCAGATCATAGGTGGTCTAACGTAATGTGTTCAGCATGTCCTAAAGAGGATCATGACTCACGTAAAAACGGCCACATCATTTTCGACTTCCAGGGAGGCATATTTACACAAGCAACTACCAAATAAAGCATTGTTCATGGGGAAGTTAACCCCCACAGCCCCCCTTGGACCCAACGGGATTCTCAGGCTTGCAGATGACTTAACAACAGATGTTGGGGACACGTAAGACGCAACAAATAGATCAAAGATAACAGACGTCTGGGAAATACAGCCTTAAGGGACAAATCTTTGAGTGACACACATTTGGGGCAGATCCACGTCTGTCCTTTGAAGCGAAAGGATAGGATCCCCACCCAAAGTTCATGACCCAATATCATTTTCCAGATCGAACCCTAGCTCGTGGCTTATAAAGACAGTTTAAATACCCCGTTAAACAAACGGCCCTAAACCAAAGTTCTTTTAAAAAGTTATATTTAATGACCCTTACCTTAACACGTGTTCCCCGGCGATTCTTCAATCTATCACACGCTCTTTTAAAAACACATTTGTTATGAAAATAACCCTCCGACAGCGTTTGGTCCAACAGTCAGTTGCCCGTCCGTGGAGTCTTTGTTTCCGAGGGGCACTTGAATCAACAGCTGGTTGCAAAGAACTAAAACACGTGATTTATTTTGCCTACAACAAACAAAGCATGGATATTGAGGAAAATAAATGACTAAATGTGGGCAGAGAGTCCAGCTCGCCCTTCCACACTCGGCGTGTCCTCGGTCCGGATGGGGTAATGTGTGTGTGTTGTGTTCGGGTGGATTGTGAGATGGGTTGGGTTTGCAGTGGCAGCCTCTCCCTTCCTCCGCCCACAGGAAATAATGGTAATGTTTTAAAGGAGTAGTTCACTTTAAAAAAAAACAAAACAACAACATTTGCTGATAATTTACTCACCCCCATGTCAACCAAGATATCCATGTCGTTCTTTCTTCAGTCGAAAATAAATTAAGTTTTTTTTTTTGATGAAAACATTCCAGGATTTTCTCCATATAATGCACTTTACTGGTAACCAAATGGTTCAAGGTCCAAAAGACCGTTTCAGTGCAAACTGCAAATTGTTCAAGACGATGAATAAGGGACTTATCAAGCGAAACGATCGCTCATTTAAAAAAAAAAGTAACAAAGTTTAATATAAGCTCAAATGGTCGCCTTGTTCTGTCCTGTGATGCGCGTTCGCGACTCTCCTGTTCGAACTCGTTTATCAAAATGAACTAATCTTTTTTTCGTGTCATTTGGTTCATTCAACGAACGAAATGAACGAATTGACTCCGGAAAAGAGTTCATTTTGATGAACGAGTTCGAACAGGAGAGTCACGAAGGCGCATTGCAGTACAGAGCAAGGCGACCATTTGAGCTTATAAAACTTAAACTTTGTTATTTTTTTTTTTTAAATGAGCGATCGTTTCACTTGGTAAGACCCTTATTCATCGTCTAGAATCGTTTAAAGCCCTTTGAACAGTTTGCACTGAAACTGTCTTTTGGACCTTGAACCGTTTGGTTACCAGTAAAGTCCATTATATGGAAAAAAAAATCCTGGAAAGTTTTCATCAAAAACCTTAATTTCTTTTTGACTGAAGAAAGAATGACATGGACATCTTGGATGACATGGGGGTGAGTAAATTATCAGCAAAAAATTTTTTTACAGTGTAGATAGTTTCCTCATAGTTCCTCATATATGCGAAACGCCTCGAGTGATCTCGCAGCAAAAAATTTAATTACACCATGTTAGACCCATATAATATTGTAAAAACGTTACGTTCTGTCTCACAATACAAAACATTAGTAGGCTATATTTAGTTTTTCCTCAAGTCTGAATGATTATCGTCGCATCATCCAATAATATGATTGTAGATATAGCGACCTTTGCTCAAGGTTTCACAGACAGAGAGCTCCTTTGTTTACTTTTTTAATGTACAAATCAAGTTCAACTTAGCTGTTCCTGGATCAGTCAGAGCGAGTCTGGACAGTTTCCGGTGTGTCCCAAAGATGTACTGATTAGATGTCATTACTCACCAGTGAAGAACTCATATTACTGAGGAAAACTGAACTTTATGGAACTAGTCAAGAAAACTGCCCAAGCCCTGATGAGCAACTATATTTGAATGTCTTACTGACTAATCCAATTGCATTGAGATTAAAAACAGGGAGGAAACCAGTATGCCTTAAAAATTCTGAAACTGTCATGACAAGAGCAACTGCTGTGGTAAAATGCTATCTGCCTTTGCATGTAAACAGCACCTGATTGTGTGAAAATATGAACCGCAATGCATTTCCTGCAACCCATAGTTCACAGAGAAACTTTAGCCTACCCTACATCACTGTCCTTTACTCTCTTGTGTGTGGAACTGAAATTCAAATACCTGAATAAACACATGATATTTTCTATTGCCTAACCCTAACTGCCCCTAAATATAGACACAGAAAACAGCAACTTTACATTTTCAGAAAAACATAATTTTGTTTGATTTATAAGCTGTTTTTCTTATGGGGACCAAAAAAATGTCCCCACCGGTTCAACCTGAAACAAATCATATTTAAATGTTTTTTTTTTTTAAATCATATTTAATATGGTTTAGATAAGAGCAGAGTGGTTTTCAACTCCCCTGGTTGAAGGTGTGTGTGTATGTGTGCATGTGTCTGTGTAACTGTTTTAGATTTTTTATTCTCTTCACCAACTTTGCATTGCAAGAGATTTTGTGTTTTTTAAAGATCTTTAACAGGGAGGTTGCCGATTTACTCTAAAAATAGCTGTGGAATGACTGGACTTCATCTGGCTTGATGTTGAGGAGCAGTTCACATTTAGGACATTCCTGAGAGAGGGGGGAGAATGGGAAAAAAAATAAGAGAAGAGAGGAGAGGAGAGATGCAGTCAGTCTATGGATAGACATGATGGTGTAGGGCAGGCCTACTAAGAGTTTGACTGTTTGTGGAAAGAAATATGTCAACCATATGAGTCAGTGTTTACAGATGGACAATGATGAAGGTTAACTGGAATGAGATCATATTCCAGTGCTCAGAGGTGGGCACAAATATACATCAAAAACTATTTTGTTACAAAATACAAATACTGGCTCATGAAATGTATTTAAATAAAATACAAGTAATTAGTATTTTGAAAATACAAAAATACTCCCACAATAATCTTTTTTTAATTTTTTTTTAAAATTAATTAGTCTTTTTTTAATTACTTTTTTTAAATAACACAAATAGTAGCAATAACACAAATATTATAAATGTGTAAATTCAAAATGGCAAAGTAGCAAAATAAAAAAGTTTGGGCATTTCACTAAATCTCTACAGGGCCTGAAATAGCTCCCTCTGACATAAATGGCACGTGTAGCTAAGTTCCCATCAATGGTGTGGTAGTTTTATACGAAATCGATATTTCTCATATGTAATACGTTTATATTGTGTGAACGCTTGCTTATCATGGAGATTTCAGTGTAGTTGCGACAGACACGCCGTTTCATAATAGGTAGGGCCTATGAAGGATAAGGGTTAGTGACGACTTTGCGTGCAGCTGTGCACGAGCGCAAAACCACACAACACCCACCCCGTCGGTGATTGGTAACTTGGAACACTGTTTATTTAGGTTTTAGTGGTTGGTGAACCCATTGTTTTTGTGTGCAGATCTCAGAGACTAGGCAGCCTACAGAGACACGGTTTTTCAACGCATACTCATCCCAAGGCGTTATATACGACGCTTTTGCCAATGCATAGACATCCAACGCACATGGCACCCTTTAGCGTCAAATGAGATGCTTCGGTTATGGTAGGTTTAGGTCTGGGGTAGGGTTAGGGTTAGACCACTAGGAGGCGCCTTCTTCCTATATATATCTGCGTCTCATATTGACGCTAAAGGGTGCCATGTGCGTTGGATGTCTACGCTTTGGCAAAAGCGTCGTATATGACGCTTTGGGATGAGAACGGGCTGGGTTTTTGGAAGTTCAGCTAGCGGATCGCTAGCAAAAATTAGATGAATGTCATAACTTATGTTTCTGCATTTTTGGGGTCTGAAATCACAGTGAATATAAAATCAGAACTCTCTCTAGATAATACTCTTGACAGGATACTCATAAGGCTCAACAAAGTAAGGTAACACGCAGGTAAGAATCACTATGAACCAACACAGGGCAGCAAACACAAGAGAGACACTAATGACAAGAACAGGTGAAGCTGACTGGACAATGACAAGACGAGGATAACAAGGGGCGGGGTACGTAACGAGACAACACACACACATGGCCCCCAAAAAAGGCCATGTGTTTGCACACAAAACATGGGTGTCATGATCCTGCCTCAAGACTAGAGACACGAGAGGAGAATCATTATATAGGCTACTATGGTGTTTTTTCTTAAGTATTTTAGTATTTGAAATACTCAAATACACTCCGTCAAAATATTTTGTTACAAACTACATTTCATTTTTTCCACACCTGCAAAATACAAATTACAAAATACACTAAAGTAATTAAATACGTATTTAAAATACATTTAATTGAAATACTGCCCATGTCTGCCAGTGCTCACCCAGTGTAGCTGAGCTGATTATTAAATAAGTGTATACATTCAGAAAGAGCATCACAGAAAATTAATATTATGCCAGTAGCCTAACTGTATGATGAATCGTGCTGCCTTTGTGGGTGCTGTTTTGCGTGTTTTTGAAATATGAAGAGTTCAGATGCAAAAGCCTCTAAATGCCATTTGAAATTTTCTTCTTTAATGATGATTTTTATCAAACTTGTATATTTAAGTTCAGTAATTTCACTTAAATAACAATTAATAGGTAATTATCATTGCCATTTAAGTGAAATCACTGAACTTAAATATACAAGCTTGATAAAAATGATCATTTTAGAAGAAAATTTCAAATGGCACTTAGAGGCTTTTGCATCTGAACTCTTCATATATAGATGGAGAATTTAGGCTAGTGCTAAATAAATTACCTCATGTCAGCTGATTGAGCTGGGTTTGTGAGGTTTATCTGTGGCAGCAGAGGAAGTGGCACAGTGGTCACATATTTTTAGTATTGAACTAATGCGAAAACACACACACACACACACACACACACACACACACACACACACACACACACACACACACACACACACAATGTAAACTCAGTGGTTCATTTGCAGAAGTGTTGAAACAGCGGTTTGGATGTGAAACCTCACCTTTTCCCTCAGTTTAAGCAACCGTGTTACCATGACGACAACACAACGAACGTTCAAAACAATAGGCCTACGTGTAGTCATTGTTCTTCTGCCTAGCGCCTGTAGTGACATTGTTTCCACTCATAGACTGTAAGGTTCCTCTGCACAAAACTTCATGTGGATTGTAACTTCCTTGGATCTGAGAGGGACGTTTAGTTTCGGAAATGGAGAGTATATGCCCTCTAGTGTCAACGATAAAGAACAGCAGTGATTAGCTTTTTCTGTAAGAGAGCTGTTAACTGGAATAACGTTAATTTAGTATTATACAGTGTCCTACTTTTGCAAGTTAACGTTACATTTGAACATGTGGTTAAAGAGGAGTCAGGTTTGGGATCATTGAATACTTTTGTGTTTTGGTTTTTATAATTTGGTGGACTGAATTTGTGTGATGTCTTGTAGTGTATTATTGAAGGATATTCGGTAGTAACGTTACTTTGGATTGCAGTTTTTATTGTTATGTGATGGATTAGTCTATATGTCGTATAGCCTACTTTTCATTTGTGGGGAATTTTATTTTATGCTAGCCTTTTGGCATGTAATGTGATTTGGTACTCT